GATTTCTGTGGGACTGAGTTTAGCAGCATTTTATTTTTGTTGCACGTTTCTATGGTGTATAACAGGATATTGACTGACCAATAGACTTTGTTGATGTTGACGGTGAGTCCATGATTAAAAAAAATCATAAAACTTTTAGGACTTCAACCCTAGGATAAGAAAAAAATTAGATTGCTATTGAATGTTATTACAATAATATGCTGTTAGAAATGACATACTGAAATAAAAATAAAGTAAAAAATTAGTTAATGGTTGTCCTTATTGAAGAGTACTAGATCTAGATCTAGATGTATTTACTTAGACTTTTGACTATGAGTGATATTTAATTTATATATTATAATAAGTAAGTTCATGACATAAAGTCTTGTAACTTTTTGCTGTAAACTGTAATAGTACTAAATAGTATTAATTAGTCATGGCACTTTATATTACTTAACATTAAAAATCAATGATGAAATAAATTTCTTCCATGTTAAAGTACCAGTTAACAGAACTTTACATACTTATACTGACTTGGTACTTAGACCATGATAACAGCCAGAAATAAAAAACAAGTGATGAAAAGATAACTTAACAGTAGTCATTGTTTTCAATGATTGCCTGAAACCAATTAAGGCCACTGAGTTGATGAATATCTTTCTATCATATTGTTGACATGGATAAAAAAATTAGATTTTTAAAAATTTTGACTTCATTCCGGAAATAAAAACTTAAGTTAAGCCTAATAATAATTCAGAAATTTAATATTTTTAGAATCAATGTTATAAAATATAGATCTATATATATAATTATATAAAAGTTGCAAATCCACTTCCAGAGAACTTGAAAATAATTTTTTGAGTTTTAAGGCTACATTAAATTTCTGTTTATTTTCATCAAGCCCAAGTTACTAGTCAAGTTACACTTTCATATATATTATTAATATTATTATATATAAGTCTAAGACCAGTGGCGTAGCGAGGTCGGGTGTCACCCAGTGCGGCACTTAATGGTGTCACCCCCAGAGGCGTAGCAACCCTTCCCGGGGACAAACTTTCAAGTTTTTGACGATTTGCACCCCCCTCAAGTTTTTCTCTATATATTTTGCTATTTTTTGCCTTGGTGTCACCGCCCTAAATGGTGTCACCCGGTGCGGTCCGCACCCCCCCTCGCTACGCCCCTGGCTAAGACAAACATTGATTGATGATTGAGATTGGCTGTACCCTACTGTACAGAACTAGATATCTATCTAGAATCTAGACTAGATCTAGAGTCTAGATCTAGAGTCTAGCTAGACTCTAGAGTAAGAAGAGACTATTGACTCTAGAACTAGATTCTAGATCTAGAAGATCTATCTAACTATCTAGATCTAGATTATCTAGATTATCTAGATCTACCTGCAAAGTTTTGTAAACAAATATCAAATACAAATTGAAATAGATCTAGAATCTAGATCTAACTAATAACTATCAATAAAATAGACTACATCATCTAGATTCTAGAGTATCTAGAGTCTAGCTTAAAGCTAGTCTATCTAGAATTAATACACTACCTGATCTAGATTTTAGACTCTAGAAAATCTAGATCTAGACTAGAGTCTAGATCTAGATTCTAGAAGATCTAATCTAGATTTCTAAGTCTTACTTAAGCAAAATAAAAAATAATTCATAAAAATTGTTTCCGGTGTAAACGGTTGTAGCCAGGCCGCGATGCCTCCTTTTCCAAAACAATGATTAAAAAATTATTTGGGATAATTTTTACCATGACAAAATACATTTATAAAGAAATATGTTTAAAAATAAGCCCAAATATTGTAAGTTACGCATAATATTTCAACAAAATAAATCAATGGATAATAAAATTGTTTCATACAATATATTATTAGCTTTAAATAAATTGAGGGGGGGTGTGTCAAATAGACCTAGATCTAGATCTATTATCTTTTTAGTCTTTTAAACGGTTACTTTCCTTGGAACGTAAAAATAAAATGTCCATAAAATTATTAAAACTATTTTTACAAGCTTATATTTCTTGCTTCAGTGTCTCTGAAATTCGGCACGTGGGTCAAGACCCCATGACAATGCAATATAACATTAAATTTGACCATGGCTATTAATTTTTATGAAATAGGTAGGCTGTCCTATCCTACTATTCAGAACGATTATCTATATGCGCGTTAACATGTAGGCCTACATTTGGTGTAGATATCGCGAGCTACTAATTGTGTTTTAAGGCAAATATTTTTATTGGTGTCGACTTCGTAAATTAGGAATTACCAAAAAAAAAAAAAAAAAAAAACAAATATAAAAACCTTTATAGCAAAAAGCAAAAAAACTTATGAAACTTACACAAATCTGGAACTCCGCTTACTCTTATGTTTCAATATAGAAATCTATCGAGTAATATTGTTATACCCCCTTAGTTTCGAAACCGTTTAACTAATTTTTAATGACTAATTAAGCATCTAATTAAATAAAAAATAGATAGGGGCCTAACATGTATTGTCATCGAAGTGTAACTTACCTGGAAAGTTTGAACGAAATCTCTACATTAGAAGTGGGTCAAAATTTAGTTACCACATTTGACACAAGATAAAAAAACCCAAACCATAGGCCTAGTTACTTCCAGGTATCTTTTCGGCCCCCACCCCAAAAGAAAGCCTACCCCCCCCCCCCCGAACAAAATGGAATGTATGTAGAAAATATACATTTAACAGCGTTCCCCCCCCCCCCCCCCCCCCGAAAATTTCAAGTGTCCCCCGGAGAAAATAGTCTGGAAGAAACACTGACCTAGACTATCCTAAGCCATCTCCACTTCAGCAATTACTTCTCTACCCACCGTTGATGTGAATATGAAAATAGCGACAGGCAAATGAAAATCATAAAAATGTACATACAACTTACTCTACCCCCAAGCCCTCTATACCCCTACACTACAGACTGCAGGCATATAGTTACAACAGCCGATCTACGTGTAGTTAATGATAGGGCTTTACAACGAGGTGTCCAGCAGCATACGTCTGTATGTGCGTGATCATACCAAACGTGACACCTTATTAGTTAACCAGTATTTCTAGAACGAATAATCCACTTTTTAAAAAAATTGTATAAACTTTGGATGTGGGATTTGTTTAGGTGCAGATTAAGTATCAATTTAAAATAATAAATAACTGTCAAGATATGAAGTTAAATGTTTCATAAAAAGGGCATTCATTACAGAAAATGAATGAATTTTTTTTATGTAAGGTGAAGAACTGCATTAATATGAAAGTGTTTAGTCGACTGACACGAGTTATATCCAATTATCATAAATTATTACCATTTTATTATTGAAAGACGAAATAATACAAAGGAATTTCGTAAAATAAAGTTTCATAAACTTTAAAAAAAAAACTACCATATAGACTACTGTAATAAGTAAAGTTAGGTTCTCGTTTCAGACCGAATGATCCATAGGGCAGTAGAGTTCATGTTTCTTGACCTCGGCATTTGAAGGGACACAGTGGACAGCAGCTTTTATTTTCCCTAATGTTAGTCAGATACTGGGTGGACTCAGGGACATCATTCAGACTCGTTTGGATCCAAACTCAAGACTTTTGAGTTTGCAGTGGAGAGCTCTACCACTCGTTATCCCTAGTAAAAAGCCTGCTCAAATGTATGAGTTGTAAGCTGTATTAAGTGTCAGTGGCGTAGGATCGTCTCTCGTAGGGGGGGGGGTTCATTTTTTATTCAGCATTTTATATATATATATATATTAGTAGACTGTCTGACTGAATTAAATCAATTAATTAAACCATTTCCTAATTTAGTAATTTTACCTATTTCATGTCAAACTATATCATGAAACAACAAATTGAAAAATTTGCTTTAATTCTTTTCGGGCGAGATATAATATAATCGTGTTTTAAAATGCTTATATCTTATTTATATATATTTTTAAAGATATTTTGTTACATTTTAATATCTTACTTATACCCGCCTAAAATTGTGAATTGTTACTGCTTCCTGTGTTTTGTTTTCTTCTTGTTTTTCTGGATTTATATTAATAATTTTGAACATATTTCTTTGTACACTGTGTCATTCTTTATTACACTATAATTTAACAATTATTAAGAGAATAAATTGCTTTTTAATGTGCTTTGTACAAAACTACTAAAATTATTAGACTTTTAAATAGGGGCTATAAATCAAGGAAGAGGTTTGCAATTTTTTAATCTTAACACTAAAGCTCATGTAGTTATTTTTTTTTTGGTCTATGCAATAGTGTGTGTTAGTTACAGTTGAACAATCACTGCTGTAGTAGATCTTTAATAAAACAACCTTTAGTCCATCAAGGTGCAAAGACAATTATTTTGTTTTTGGTCAGATTTTTTTGGCCCAACCCACCCCCTGCATTGCGGGATCTGGCGGCATTGATACTTTGGGAACCACATTACGTGTTTCCCAAAAGTACTTAACAGAACAGTAAGAGGAGGGGGGGGGGGGTTCAACTTCATCCACCACTGTCAAGTTACTTTAGGCCTATTTTCTTACTCAGCTTATACCTAGGTGTGACATTAATGTCGCTCTACACCTTTACAGCCTGTCCCGTTCTGGTGGTGGGTGGGGGGGGGGGTGGGGGGGTGGGGGGGGGGGTGGGGGGGGGTGGGGGGGGGGGGTGGGGTGGGGGGGAGGGGGGGGAGGAAGAAATAACCAACTCAGAGTGAATATAGCGTCAGTTTTGATGTAGCTTTTCTAGACATACATATCCAATTGTACATATATGCTGATTCAGACCCCCCCCCCTTGCCTACGCCACTGTTAAGTGTATTACCTAAGCATAACTTAACATCTAATGCATATCATATATTGCCAAAGTAAAAAATTTACTGTATAATATACATTTCTTTGAATAAAATAAAGGAGGTAAGTACTATGCAGAGGGCGTTGGACTCATGAAAACTGCGTTAAAAAAAACACTTTAGTCTCCTCCCACATCTTGTGCAGCACACAAATTGTTAAAAAAAGAATATAAACAGGAAATAACAATAACTTTTTATTTTTTAACCCTCAACAAATGACCATCAAAGAAAAAGGCAAACTTTGGTCAGTCAACAATAAATATGTTATCAAAATATAAATTACATTAACATTACAGCTGAGGTTGAGATACGCTGTGTATTTATTTTATAAACATGCAGACCATAAAACATATTTTGTAAGTATGTAATGGTATTAAATATTTTCCAGCAAAAATTTTATCATAAATATTTGCTTTAAATAAACTGCAATAAAAAGCTGCAATGCTGAAGTGGAATTTTTCTCAAAAAATAAATAAATCACAAAACCTTACCCTTAAAGCATTAAGTAAAAATAAATAAAAAGGCAGAATGACTAGATATTGTATCATGAAATAACATGATTAAAAATATATATAGATCACAATGTTTATAAAAATTTAATAGAATAAAGTTTAAGTCAGATGCAGAAGGGAATATTTCAAAACTGAATACATGATTTGCAAGCTAATAATTGTATAAGGCACTGTGGTGACAGTATTGTATTCAATCGAAATCAATTTTTAAAAAATTTTATGTTCAAAATTAAGCAACACAATTTTTTTTTTTACTAAAACCAAATCTGTTAGAATTTAAAATAGTTGAAACTATTTAGATGACATTAAAAAAAATTGACCAAAGGAATTTATTTCATACGCCAACTTAAAATGTTATTAGTTGCCTACAAATATGAATTAAATATTTAAAAACATATAAATGTCTATCAATCAGCATCCCAAAAACCCATTTGAAAGAAGTAAATAAGTAGAGATTATATCTGATTGTGTAAAATATTCACCTCTCATATGAAAAGAAACAGCGTACAATGAGCTGAAATTATCGGTGCATGAACCTTCAATTAAATTTTTAAAAAATGGTTACATATTCTCAGAGCATTTTTCTTTATATTTATATTAAATATTACTTTACAGCACTATCTCAACAAATACTATTTGAATTTGTTACTAATTATTATATATTTATATGAATATGAATGGTATACATATACATATTTAAAAATATAAATTACTTAGTCTATCTGCATGATAATGTAATCCAAAAAGTAAATTTATATTTTTATTTTAGTTTTAAAGTTTTAACATGAAGGCTGTCTTTTATTGTGTAAAACTAAAAATCAATTGTAGGCCTATAATTAATCTGATCCTAATTTTGTTGATGTACTGAGCACCCAACTTAAAATTTTCAACATATTGGATAAACGAAGCATTGATGTTATATCCTGGAATAAGTGCCAATGTGATGTTTACAAATTGGGCAAGTATGAGTCACATCCTGTAGGTCATCCATACAAAATGGAAGAAATGTGCAGACAATGCTGGAAAATATTTAAATATTAGAACTGTTTAACAAAATTTATTAAAATATTTTTTAAAAGTTATAACAAAATATTTTTTTATTTTTTAAATAAATTATTACTGAATTACAAAGAGTGAAAATAAGTCAAATAAAGAAAAAATAAATTGGTTTGTAAGATAATTACATTTACTATTACATATTAATTTATTCTGATATTAAAACTGAATTTTAAAAATATTTTTAAAACATAATTAAAATTTAATTAGTTTTTAGTAAAAGCTGGTAGTGAAAAGAAATCAATAACATTTTATGAAATATGATTTACCACAAGAAAAAGCAAAGGCCCGCTGTTATAAAAGTTAAGGTTCCAGCTCTATGGTGGATGTCTGTCATGACTTCATGGCCACATGTTGGGCACTGTACAAAACATGAATCTGGTCCTAGCTGCACCAATGAGATGCAATGGTCTAAAGATGAGTAAAGGGAATGATAACAATATGGAGTATTTGTCATTTAAAGAAAATTTGTGTACATATTTTTTTTTTTCACATGGAAATCAAGCAAGGATTTCAAAACCTCAATAAAAAAGTGATGCTAGCTAAATATATTTACTTATATTAAAAAAAATGGATAATAGCTAAGCATATTTACTCATACAAAACAGCGTTGGTCAGTACTTTAAAATCTGGGATTTATTTTAAGGGAACATGAGTATTTAACATGAATAAAGACCTAGTTACAGCTGCTGAGTAGTGGCTAAGTTCAGTATTGGTGTGTCCTGCAGAGTTTCTTCCAGGCATCTTTTGGGGGGGGGGGGGGGAGGGGGGGGAAGAAAGTCTACTGCCCCCCCCCCCCCCGAACGAAATGGAATTTATATAGAAAATATATACATTTAACAGTGTCTGCCCCCCGAAGAAAAAAGTCTGGAAGAAACACTGGTGTTCTGGCACAAATTTATGAGACCTGGGCACAATGACATTGTGTTCTGGCACAAGTTTCTGGGATCTGGGCACTACAACATCATTCTGGCACAAGTTTCTAGGAGCTGGGCACCACAATTGTATTCTGGTTGTGATTTCTGAAGGACTGAGTACAGCAACATTGCATTTTAGGTACATATTTCTATGATGTCTGTCAGGACATCCACTGATTTGTTTGGTTTCCAATAGAATTTGCTGAACAAATTAAAGTACATTTCCAGAACTATAAAAGCAACCTAAAATAAACCAAAAACATTTTGTACAAAAATAATTTACCAAATCTTTGATATCCTGGGCCTGAAGTAACGGCGTGGTAAGTTCCTGTATATGCTGCATTGGTCAAGGGAGGGTAGCTGGGTGGGGGGTCACTTGGTACAGAGTTGCCCACTGATGGGTTAGTTTGTATATTACATGACTCTGAGATTGCCTCTGTGTAGCTTGGTGGTGCTGATGGTAGAAGAATGGGTGCAGAGTCCTTCATGATTAATCAATCTTCAAACTTATGAGACTCTTAGGATTTCAACTCTAGGATAAGAAAAAAATTTACATTGCTAATGAATGTTATCACTGTTATGAAATCGACATACTAATAACAAATTTTTAAAAAATTAGTAAATAGTATGCCTTACTGAAGAATACTAGATTTAGTTGTATTTACTGATGAATGATATTTATAATTATAATAATTAAGTTCATGACAAAAATTGTTGCAGCTTTTTTTTACTTGATCTATGGAAATTTAATCTAAACTTAAAAAAAATCTATGATGAAGTATAATTTCCTCCTGGTAAATTTACTAGATCTAGTTAACAGAACTTTACATGCTTAGAATGCCTTTCTTAGATTCAAGATAGACTTGTGTCATGAGTTGTGAGCATGACGTTAAACATTCAAACTAGATCTAGAGATCTAGATCTATACGAAATAGAGAAAACCCTAACTTAACTAATCAAATCAGTAGCTACTAGCTAGATCTAGAAGCCTGCAATCTCTAAAAGTAAAAGTGTAAAAAATTACTGATCTAGTTATTTAGTTTAGTTATCTTACATTACTTATTTACTAGACTAGAATCAATAGATCTAGATATTACTAGAACTAGAATAGTTCAAGTTAATATGTAGATCTAGAGTCTAGAGGTAGCTAGACTAGGAGTTGGTAAACAATAGTAAGTAAGACTATAAGACTCAATAATATTGAGTCAATATTATAACATTAACTATACTATAGACTATAGGGTAAAATCTTAGTTTAGCGTCGTAAATTCCAACTTAGCTAGTAATGTGCGATGAAGGTAACTAATGAATATTTCTTTCATTTGGCCATATTTATGTCATATTTTACATAATATAACAGATAATTGAATACCAAATCACAATCCAAGACCAAACCAGTCATAAATATCCTGGAATAAACTTTAAACTACCCCGTTCGAGACAACAATGAGTAAATACAAGCAGCGGCCATGTTTTAAAAACAATAAATTGTCTATTCGCATGTCTTTTGTGTTGATTTTGTGGTTTAATATGATTGTTTTGTATTGTTTTAATATATGCCGGGGGTCGTCCATTAATGACGTCACACTCGTAGGGGGGAGGGGGGCCCGTAATTTTGTGACGTTGTGTGTGAGGGGGAGGGGTTCAGATGGTGCGACATCACACTTTTGCATTTTAAAAAAGCAATGTTACAAAAACGAATTTTAGACGTTATTTTGCGTTTTAAAAAACTGTTTTAATACATTGTAATAACAATTGATTAAAATACTCTATTTTGACAGAGTTCAGACAAGATTTTGGAAAAATATAGCTGTTAAAAAAAAATTCAACTGCAATTTTGAGGGGGGGGGGGGGGGGGGGTGTAGGCTGAGGTGTGACGTCATTTTAGGGGGGGGGTCTGGCTTTTTGTGACTACGTTTGACGGAGGGGAGGGGGGGGGGAGGTAAAAATCGTCAAAAAAAGCGTGACATCATTTATGGATGACCCCCTGTATAGTAAGTTTTCTTTTTTTAAAAATATAGTTGACATGAATGACTAATAGACCATATCAGACTTAATAGTGTGCATTCAAGACCACAACAATTGTTGGGAGGTCGAACTTTTTAACACTTTATTTGCAGTAAGCAAATCAATATTAGATCGCTCATAAATGACGTCGCTCTTAAGATAGTAATGACAGCGTGCATTATTACAGAGCAAACATATGAACATATTGTTTCAGATAGAAATTGTGATTTGTGGTGGGGAGAGGTTGAGTAGAACTCAGCGATGTGATTTTGGAGACTGGTCAGGTTTTTTTTCTCGTGAAAACGGGATGGTTGTGGGAGAAAGACCAGCTGTAGAAGTATGACGCGTCATTCATTGGTGATCCATTTTCTCAGTGGGGACGAAAGAACTATTAAGAAAGGTCAAGAAATGTCAAAAGCTTGCCGAGTCGCATTTCTTGAACCCTACCTTTTTCATTCCCCCACTTAGCACATCGTCACCGAGTTAACGCTCGCACGTGACGTCATGTAGCGGTACCGCCGACCGTTAGGCTAATTTTATAGGAAAAAAAAACAATAAGCACTGTCTTTTTGACGCTTTCGCGACGTTTAGTTTGATTACATAAGTTGGTGTTCATTAAACAGCCCCTAACACATCTATCACTCGTCCATTTAAACGTACGTAGTTATTTCTGCAAGCTTGCTGTCTTGAGACTTTCGGCCCTTTAAAAATGTATTAAGCTCACACCGTATAGAACTAGACTACCCATATTAAGCTCCAAAAGAAGCTTGGTGAAAACAGGATGGCCGTCCGATTTTGTAGCTGCTCTGCGCTTTTTAAAAACCACAATAAACGATAAGATGACACTTATATTAAAGTAAATTATAGTTCTGAATCTTGATACATTAAAAGTGATATTCGGAAATTAAGAGCCAGACCAGACAGTCAACATATTTCAATTTAAGTCCAAGAAAATAAATTTCCTCAAACGATGGAACATTACTAAATTTTCGCGCAGTTTAGCGAAATTGAATTTAAGTATTTACGTCATCTTACAAAGCGCGATAGCCTACTGGTGCTCTAACGTGGCCCATGCTAATGGCCGTATTCCTAACGCCCCGCATTAGACACGGCTTATTCGTCAGCAGGCATTTGGTGGCAAGCCTTTTTGACGGGGATAATGTGTTGCGGACGTTTTGCCGAATGTCTTAAACTAGCAGGCTTGCGACATTTGTGTTTTATGCAAGGTATACGTATACTAATGCTTATTTATCGTTATTTTGATTGAACAAAGCATTATAGAGGTTCTCCATCAACCACCTAGGTATTTTTCCCCGTTCACCTCCTTTCATGAGACCGACACGTCATAAATTGCAAAGCCGCCTGAGTTGACGTCACAAATCTTCACTCACTCCCGTAGCAAATCATATGTGACATCATTGTGACATCATTTATGGACAACCCCATATCACTCACTTGTGTACTTGATATTGACGATTTGACAACAAAGGATAACCAAAATGTGTCTGGCAGGTGGAGACTTGGGATCGACCATAATGACAACACGCACTTAAGGGGTGGACGGGCTCATTGTTTTAGATGATGTTTTACGAGGGAAGCTGGTGGATAATACATTTGGTCTCTTTGTATATGTAAATGATGACAAACATTTAATGTTGTCAAAATTATGGTTAGAGATCTTAGATAAGGCAGAGTGAAGCGTAATTTTTTACATTATGACTTGTGACATTGACGACAAAAATATGACGGAGGTTGGGGTTTAATTATTATTAAGGTAAAGAGAAGTAAAAAAAAATGTCATAAGTTACGATAGAATTACTAACTGATGAAAAGAAAAACCTGAAATGAAAATAGTGAACATTCAAACAATAAGAAAAAACTCACAACTATTTAGTAATAGTAAGATCAGTAGCGTAGCGAGGGGGACGGGGGGGGGGGGGGGGGGGGACATATGTCCCCGGGCGCCGGGGGGGGGGGTGCAAATGGAAATCTCGAGGGGGGTGGGGGTGCAAATTGAAAGTTTGAGGGGGGTGCAAATCGAAATCTCGAGGGGGGGGGGGGGGGGGGTGCAAATCGAAAAGTTTGTCCCGGGAAGGGTCGCTACGCCTCTGAGTAAGAAAAAACGTGATTTAATACATGGATACAAGTTGCATCTCACAATGCTTCTAGAATTAATAAAGTTGTTTGTTAGGAAATTCACATTTAAAAAAATGCTTTGTAATACGGACTATACAACAAGACGATCATATTTAAATACATTTTCATATGAATAGAAATGAAAGGGAAGCTACTCTCAATAACATTTTCTTAAGATGGCTGCTGTTTTTAATAGCAAATTTACTATCTCGAACAGGGTTGATAAAAATTAATTTCAGGATATTTAAATTGATTTAACCATCAATGGTGATCTATTATTCAATTATTTATAATATTTTATTAAAATATACGAAAATATACTCATATTTAATGACATATTCATTAATTCACTCTCTCCCACATTACTACTAGTTTTGGCCGAATTTACGACGCTAAACTAAGATTTTACCTCGGTTTATCATTTATGACAGTTTTAAAAACTTGTTAGATTCTAGAATCTAGATCTAGATTCTAGATCTAGACTCTAGTTGTTATCGGTAGTCGATCTAGCAAGTCTAGCTAGATTATTGATGCTTTTCTTAAAAAGTGTTACACAAAGGGAGTGTATACTGTATACTTTTACCTTTACTAGCTATATTTTACTACAAATTATTACATAATGTTATAATATTAATTACTGTGTAGATAGATAGATCTAGATTAGATCTAGATCTAGATCTAGATTCTAGACAGGGCGAGGCTCTTCTGACTGATAAATAAATTAAGATCGTCTGACTAAATCTTTTGCAAAAAAATCAAAAATGTTTCCGGTGTAAACTGCTGTACTGTTATAGAGTCCTTTCATATGACGTCACGTCCGTTCGTGATACCTACGCCCGCCGCCACAGTGGTGTACACAAGACGTAAACACAATCAGCTGTTCGCCAGCGCTGGACGTGTTCACCAGCGCTGGACGCGTTCACTGTATGTAAAGAACCGCACCCGCGGAAAAGGAAAAATACGTTAAAAAACTTGAACTCTTAGGAATTGAAGATCCTTATACTGTTATTGACAGTTTCGTATACATAAATATGTGGACAAAATTTCTAAATAAAAATACTGTTAGTAATACTGTTTGCGTTTAGAGTTAAAGTAGCCGAATCTGATCAAATGTAGTTCTCGATACTTTGTTTCATGTAAGGACAGTAAAATAATAAACTTCATTTTAATTATAAAAGATAACTATTAATAAAACAAATATGCTCGACCTTCACAAATACTAATAGTAAAAGACAAAGTCAAAAGTAATAGGCTAATAAGAATAATAAGATCTAATAGTAGGCCTAATACCTGGCTCCGCTGGGTAGACATAGAATCTAGAATCTACTTCTTTACTTAAATTTAATTACTTTAGATCTACATTCGATTCAAAATACACCCATAATAAATCAAAAGTAGTCATAATAGGCTTATAAAGCATTTAATTGTCTCTAAGATCTAAAATCTCGCTCTATTATCTAATCATTTTTTTAGCAAACGAAATTTTCTGAAATTGAAATAGATTATATGACTAGACTTAGATCTAGAATCTGCTACTTAAATTAAATTGTAAAAACTTTATACAAGCATGTAGTTGATATTATTGTAGTAGAAGGCTTTAATAAATTACTAAGGCCTACCTACTTTGTTGTCTTTTTACAGCAATATGTATCTGATACTGGACTGAGTTTAATTAAATTCAAATCTAGTAATTGGTCTACTAAGTTTTTGTAGCCTAGTAGTACAATCTAGATCATACCAGCCAACAACAAATAACCACATTATTATTATTTGGTTAATGATTAGGCTAATTTGTTTTTAAATCCACTGTTTATAAAAGAAACAAATCAAGCTAGAAACATTATAAGTGAGATGGTTTAGAATAATAACAATGGACCCAGTCTACAATTGATACAATTGCAGGTCTACATAGGGCCTACAGTCTAGTAGTTTACAGTAGGCACCTAGTGTGTAGCTAGTATACTAGTGTGTAGCTGTCCAGAGTTAAGATTCTTAATGCCTTAATGCTTTCCCCTGATAAGCCGTGTGTGCTATAAATGACATAACATGACACCGAGGTGAGAAGTGTTGAGGGGAGAGCAGTGGGACTTTCCCCTTTGTTCTCCCTGCTGGGCCCTGAGGGTCAAAATTATATAAGAAATACTATCTCTGTGGGGCTGGGTATCACGGAGGTGAGACATTTTCAGGGGAGGGCAGACTCCTCTTTGGTTTTATTGTGGGCTAGATACAGGTGGGGGCAGCCATCATGAGGGTTGAACGTCAGTATTAATGTGTCTGATTACTTCCCTGCTGGATTATAAGGGTCTTAAATTGTATAACATGCTACCCAGATTGGTTATTACCCATGGATTATATTAGCCGTTGTAGTGTGGGTTTTGTAGGAGTTAAGTGGTCTCACGTTTGCTACAGTAGATAACCTCTAATATATTACTGCATTTGATCAGCTTCGTCTACTTGACCCTTTCCCCGGCGACTGGGTGTAATCGACCCGAAGTCGCTATATTTTTGCTCATATCTTGAGTCTCGTTTTATAAATTTTTCTGGGCCTCAATCCCATCTATAAGGTGGTTGGGATGAACACATTGGAGGTTGTAAATTTTAAAAATATGCGTAAATTTTTTTTTTATGAGGGTTTGAAATTTTTTTATACGGTCCCTGGCAACTGGGTGCTACACACCCGTACACAATTTTGAATGGAAAAAATATTTATAACTTATAAACTGGCTTCTAACAATTTGTTTTTACTCATTGTGGGTTAAGTCATTGTGTTACATTTTCAAAGTTTAACTATAAATTAACAATCTGAAGGTATTTGAGTAACAAAAATATCAAACCGGATTGAAGTAATCAACTTCAGTAATAAAATAATAGAACAGTAGAACGTTTTAATAATTTGCACCTCAGAGAGCACAGTTGTTAGATAATATTAAAATAACTGGACATTTCCTTTTGCTGGCAGGGAACTTTAGTTTTTTTTTTATAAAATATGGGCACCCTTTTAGTGGTGTAACATGAGTCACAGGTTCAAAATATTTTAATTCCATACTTATCGGAATTGCTTGGTATGTATTGGATAAATCTACCCCCACCTCTAAAATCAACCAGTTGCTAATTAGTAATGATCTCTCCAGAAACATAACACCTTTCTAAATTTGAATGGAATATCTACCATAGTGGAAGCAAATATACCATGAGCCTGATGGACTGTTAGTGTTATTGTTGTGAAGTGAATATGACCCAGAAGGTTGCTGAATTTCTTCATAGAAAATTCTGCCTTCAAAAACTTCCATAAGCAGAAATGAATTGACATACAACTTAATTGTTATTCTGCAGAGTGCCAGTGTCTCCTCTTGCTTTCTCTCCATCCCTGCTAATGCAGTCAAATATTGGTTGTATTATTTTTTGTATTCATGCACAGAAGAAATATTTTGGGTCAGGCTGTTTATAAATTTCCTGAGATTAGCACTTCAGGCAGTGGTCTAGTGTACTGTTACTTTGTCTTTCCTGAAAATATTTCTTTTTCTTCACTTTGCACCAGCCATTTCATTTCATTATGAGTGCCAACTGTTGACACATTATTGATAGTTGAATTGCAGTATATTGGGTAGACCTCGTCATCAGAGCTGCTTGATACTGATGGCTGCCTTTCTTCATCATCTACCTCTGATACTGATAGTTCAGACTCAAAACTTGTTGGTCATTTTCCCCTGCTATACTAAAACTGGCAAATATATTCCTTTATCATTACCACTTGAATTAAGACAAAAGCGTTCAAGACTTGTTTCTGTTGTGTTCTCAATAACGTTTGTGACTATTTATAAACCTTACTCTCAGGGTCACAACCTGTAGAACACCCACCCCACTCCCAGTTTGATCAATTAATTGCCCAGTATTAACTTTCAAGCAGCATTACAAAGTTGTTTTGCCTTTTTGTCCTCATTCGTACTCCTAATGAGGTTAATGTCAAGTTACTCTAAAAGGCTCGAATGTCTCTATCTACCTTCCAGAGCTCCGTAAAAGAGTACAAATCACCATATATGTCCTCCCACAGGCAATCTTACCCCTGCATTTCATTACCCTATTGTAACTCTAAACTACAGTTCTGTCTGTAACTGCAAGTCAGAGCTCCAGCAAAGAGTATAAATCACTACATGTGTCCACCCACAGGTTAACTCTTGCTTGAGAATCCCATCAACCACTAGTATCATATTACAGCTCTCCCATTGACAACAACATGTCTTGTGTTCCCCATGGCCTCTGTGCCCTGAATACCTCAACTGTGTCAGTATTGTTACCCACCCCACAATGAACTAAGAAAAGAATTTACTATAAGAAAGTCTTTGGGTGTAATCCACCCAGTTGCCGGGGACAGGGTACCAAATATGTTGCCGGGGAAAGGGTTAAACTCTAAACGCAAACGGTATTACTAACAGTATTTTTATTTAGAAATTTCGGCCACATATTTATATTATCCACGAAACTGTCAATAACTGTATAAGGATCTTCAATTCCTAAGAGTTCAAGTTTTTTAACATATTTTTCCTTTTCCGCGGGCGCGATTCTTTACATACGGTGAACACGTCCAGCGCTGGTGAACACGTCCAGCGCTGGCGAACAGCTGATTGTGTTTACGTCTGATGTACACCACAGTGGCGGCGGGCGTAGGTATCACGTGATTTAGGTCACGTGTTTGCAAGGACTCTATACGACAGATCTAGGGCTGGTAAGTAGGTCAATAAACAGTTATATGGCTCATGCAGGTTTTATTGAGCCGTAGAACTGTTTATTGACCTACTTGGCAGCCCTCTGGCTAGACCGTGGAGTCACTTTTTCCAAAACAATGAAATTTAAAAAAGAATTGGAATAACTTTTACAATAACAAAACATTTACAAAAATTGCTTTTTTAAAAGTAAGCCTAAATATTTTATGTTTAATTTTAAGTTACACATAATAAATCAATGGACTATAAAAATGTCCTACAATATTTGCTTTAATCAATTTTGGGGGAGTAATTGTGTAATAACATATTTCCTTTAGTCTATTACACGATAGCTTCCCTTGGAACGAAAAAAAGTCTATTAAAACTGTATTTTAAAATTTCTGTTTTGCATTGCCAAATTCAAAAAGAAGTATATGTTTCGCTTTTGATATGGACTCCAATTTCATTTTAGTTTCAAACATAAAAACACCATTGTCTACTTTTGTTATTGTAAAATAAAAAAAAAATCCCTTTGCATTTATTACTTAAGGATTATCATTGCAGAGGCGTTGCGACCCTTCCCGGCGCCCGGGGACAAACTTTTCGATTTGCACCCCCCCTCGAGATTTTGATTTACACCCCCCCTCAAACTTTCGATTTGCACCCCCCCTCGAGATTTCCATTTGCACCCCCCCCCCCTCAAACTTTCGATTTGCACCCCCTCGAGATTTCCATTTGCACCCTCCCCCCCCCCTCAAACTTTCGATTTGCACCCCCTCAACCTTTCAATTTATTTTTCCAACCCATTTTGGCGCCCCCTACCCTAAGGTCGACGCCCGGGGACATATGTCCCTCCCCGCCCCCCCCCCCCCCTCGCTACGCTACTGCATCATTGTAACATTGGATTGAGCCACTCCTGTTTTGGGGACAACATAACATCAATTTAGTCTAACGGTTAGACTCTAACCATTCTGTTGAGCTTGTCCGTGATCCATAACTCGTCTTTCACAATGGAAAGATAAGCGAAACACGAATGTAAACAACATTTAAATACGCTTATCACAAAGGGACACAACTGGTAACAGAATGTTCCGGTATGGATTTTAGAACTTTCCTTTTCTTAGATAAGAATATGAAATATGACGTGTTAATATTTTAGCTACACACCAGCCACGCAAAAATAGTCCCGGCTTGTAAAAATCTAATTATCAGTGCTGCTGCCCCAATGCTTTTAGCAAAAAATAAAAAAAATAAAATGTCTTGCTAAGCAATAAGATAAAAGTTTGCTTTTCTCTGCTTTTGATATTTACAGAGAGAAATTAGCTTTAAACCTAATCAAGAACATCTTTCCAAGCTACATGCAAGACAAGGACTGGGCTTTCTTATAGATATAGATCTAGATCTAATTATCGTTATCTACAACAAATAAAAAATGATTCAAACGACTCAAAGTTACAATTTAAAAAAAAAAAAAAAAAAAAAAAAAAAAAAAAAAAAAAAAAAAAAAAAAACGAGCCAGGAGTCAATGGGTAAAAAAATCGTGAAAAATAATGCAGACGCAGCTGATCTTGAAAACGTCACACATTATGGTGAAAAACAATTGATGGCTGCTGGAGATATCAAGGTATTATGGGTTTAGTTAGCGATAGACAGACCACAGAGGTCATAGCAAAGCAGGAAATATGGGTTTAGTTAGCGATAGACAGACCACAGAGACGACATAGGCCACTGCAAAGCAGGAAAAACAGGTAGCTGTAACAATCAATACACATAATGATGATGATGATGATGATGATGATGATGATGATGATACAGGAAATGGAAATATCAATAACGATGGCAGAAATAACTTCGAGGAATATAAATAAAAATTAGATAAGGCTTTTTTATTATTACGAGCCGACCAGATCACCAGATCATGTGGGGGTGGGGTGGGGGCGGTAGTGATAGTGATAGAGAGAAAGAGAGGGGACTGCAAGGAGGCGCTTGCAGCTTGTTTTCTAACGGCTCCCAGAAGAGAATTATATATATAGATTTGTAACATATTTGTTTTTAATTTTTTACATTTGACTTACTTAATGAAATATTTTAAGATGTTACCAACCCCTCCCCCCCACCAAATGGGGTATCCTCCAAGATCCTGTTCTTTAAGGGCCTACAAAAGCCTTGACATAAAAAAAATGTTTTACTGACGTTCAGATAAGCAATCGACTTTTCTTATAATAAGCAATGTCTATGCTAAAGTTACTCAATAATTATTAAACTTTAAAGATAACTCCGCTACTTATAACATGCCCCCCCCCCCCCGGCCCCCCACACATGAAGCCTCTGACCGCATCCAATAATCTTGCGTCAGTATAGTTAATATGAAATCTAGCCCTAACCCAACTATAGCTTTAGTCCACTAGCGAATTTTAACTTTAACCATAAAAATAACCTACTTTAAAACCCGACGCTGATTCTAACCATGACGGGCTGTAACATTGCCTCGCTTTTAGACTTTACGGCTAAGATGTAAGTCCGTACCATATATTTTGTATCACTATTCCCCTTAGTTCAAAGCTTATCTTAAGGCAGGCCAATATCATACCTTAGTTCTCGTCATTACACACAGCACAGTATGGTCGACTTACACTTGGCGACACACACCTAATGTGTTGATTTGTTATTGTTTACATTTTCGGTTTATTTTTGGATGATATCATTTTTTCTGAACTAAATTTTTTTTATAGTGAATTAGTCCATGGTTTACTTAAGGCTTGCCTTAAAAAGCCGATAGAAGTAGAGAACATGATCGTAAACATTTAATAGAGACATGTGAAGTGTTATTTTTAATGACACAATATTTTATTCGAATTAATATTTTTATTTTCTCAGAAGAAAGTGTTTTTGTGTCGAATTGTTTCAATGTTTTTTATTTGTTTTTATTTTCAAGAATCCGAGTCTAGCAATAAATTTTTCTGTGTATTTAGGTGAATACTAGAATCTTTGTAGTCTGGATGACAAACATGACTCAGTTCAATGAAAATTACTTTATAAGTACCGACTAAGATTTAATTTATATTGATTCAATTTTTTTTTCCATTTCTATCCAAGTGTAGGGATTATTATTGTTTAAGTTATAAAAAAAAATTTCATTTTATTTTAAAATTCTGAAGTATATTTAAGTATAACAAAAGACCAATAAAAACTTTTCTTGACTAGATCTAATTATAAATAGATGCATGACATCTTATTTGAAGCATAAAGCTGCTTAAAATGTGTTTCATATATATTTGAAATCACGACACAATTGCGTTTTGAGAACAACGCCTCTCCATTCATCGTTATAATCTTGTGTGATTTTTAAAGTAAAAACATAAACCCAAGAAAAATGACTTATAAATACATTTCTTTATTTGCGAAGGCTTATTTTTTACTGTGCTGTGTGTAAGGATTAGCACTTCTAGGAAATATTACGTCAACCTTTACTTAAGATAAGAAATCAAGTTTTAAAAGTCTCGGCCAACCGAACTGTGTGTGTGATATGTGTGCGTAATGTCGTCGCAAAAGGTTGTTGCCAGATTGGCTTTTGTTTACTTTTTTGTTTGGTCTCAAGTGTTGGCCAGACTCGACAATCTTGTGCCAGGTACGATATCTCTGTTAATTAGCCCAATTTGTCATGTCATCGATATTTTCAGAAAAGCTTGGAGTTTGTGAAAAGATTCCTTATGTTAATTAATTCAGTTAAATAAGGTATTGAGCTAAGATATATTTTAACAGCGATAGCAAACGAAAGATTTGTAATGTCCTGGTATCTACCCCATTCCCATAAATGGTGTGCAGTTCTTTGCACACTTATTAAACGACGATCTATTAAACCAGTTCATACATGCATAGCCTGCTTTATAAAGCTACACATTTTACGTATACATTTTTTCGATGTTTGCAAAATAATTTACAGTGACTAAAAAAAAAGAGAATAGCCATGAATATGAAATTCCGAAATAACCCTTTTGTCAAACACCTCTCTGAATTTTTTCTTTAAGAAAAAAACAAACAACATTCTCACAAGAAGCCCTTTCATTCATCATCAAAATCAATACTTTAATATTTCTTTGCAATGGCGTCGCTAGGTCGGGTTTCACCTGGTGCGGCACCTCTTATAGGATATATATATATATATATATATATATATATATATATATATATATATATATATATATATATATATATATATTTATGTATATATATATATATATATATATATATATATATATATATATATATATATATATATATATATATATATATATATATATATATATATATATATATATATATATATATATATATATATATATATATATATATATATATATATATATATATACTTCTTGGTGTCACCCCCCCCTCCCATTTTGCCAAATCACGTGAATTTGTGAACACATTATTTTAATTCAAAAGGAACAAAGCAACCATTCATGGTTTTCTCGATAGTTAACATGGTGCGCCCCTAAACATCACCCCCCCCCCCTTGTCAGGATTGTCAATTTAAAACTTAAAAGACTTTTTAACTCTAATTAATCATTAATTGAACTGGCTAAATGCATTTTTCTTCTATATATTTTGCATTTTTTTTCTGTCTTGGTGTCACCTCCCAATGGTGTCACACGGTGCGGTGGGCACCCCCCCCCTCCTCCGCCTCGCGACGCGTCTGCTTCTTTGCTATATTTCACATCGATAAAAGCCACCAAAGACAAATAATAACACATAAACCATAATAAACTTCTTACATTGCATTTCGCGACCTAAGAAACAAAATATATACATAACATCTATATATTATATATATTATTTTCTCAAATATAACTTACACAAAAATATATTTTTGATTGTTACAAGAAAATACAAAATGTAAGTAGGATTGAATTTTGTATTAAGTAATCACGCTGAGTCCCTAAATATAGAGACAAAAAATACATGTACATGTATTAAGATGACAACAATGTAACAATTATTTCAGTTGGGGTAGAATACACCCATCGTGACGTCAAAGACCAGCATTTACCGAGTAGTTTGAATGTCACCATCAGAACACCAACACAAACAGCTGAGCTACAGTTAGAGCAGGTTGAGCACATCCATTTGGGAATACCCGTTTACTCGCTAAAAATAGATCAAGATGGAGAACTCATCCGTACAAAAGAGATACTGAAAGAACGTAAGGTTAGCGAGGCGGATGTATACTTTTATTTGTTGTGTTCTTTTTCTTTAGTGTGTGCTTAACATATGCAGCACAAATATATCAGTAATATATAAGAACGGATTAAATTTATAAGAGGACGAGGGTGGTGGCGTGTGTGTTTGGGGGGGGGGGGGGTATCCTGAAAGTGTACGTTCACACTTTTGCTACTTAAAAGAAATATTGAAATTGAATTTTAGAAGTAAACAGACCAGCTCTACTTCATCTACCCTACTGGTTGTTACGATGCGTGTTTTGAGTAAAAAATAAAATCTTTCTGGGATGAGAGAGCAAAGTTTGGTAAACAAAGGAAGTGTGGATACGTTTTGAGTGTTAAAATCATAAATCTTCAGGTTGTTATAGCTTCCAATCGAACACTGACATTAATAATAGACCACAGGACACTGTTAGAAGTATATATTTTCTATATACATTTATTTTCGTTCGGGGGGGGGGGGGGCGGTAGACTTTCTTCGAGGATGCGAAGGCCCCCCGAAGAGATGCATGGAAGAAACTGTTAATTTAGAGCTTCCATCCGCAGCCAATAGCTCTAATGTGTGATTTCTCTGTTAACAGAATGTGGGCTACTACCAAGACATAAAAAACAATGCCGTAATCCAGGTCTCAAAACCACAAGATTCCAACTCTAAGAAGGATAAATTGTTATTGGTATGTTCTACTTTATTACATTATGTATCAACAGTTATGATATTAAACTTTCCCACATTAAAATTCTTAAGATAATCCCATACATCAAGACAGCTGTTTACAACTAATTGCCACCAGTAGTTTTTAACAAAAAGAATCACCTCACAGATATGATGCAAAGATAAACGAAGATTGTACATCACTGTCGTAATTTTAAAGTTATTAAAATTATTTATAGTCAGTTTTTGGCTTCCCCAGGCACCCGTGTTGTGCTGGGTTGAAGTGGGTCATATGGCCCCATGTAGGTAACAAAATCGCCCCACCCCCCTTCTTCCAAAAAATAATCAGTTACTCCAATGGTAAAACAAATACCAAATTAAAATATATAAAAAAAAAGTGAAAGATAATTTAGTTTGACTTTGTGTCACGTAAACAAATGCTGACTTTTATTTTTTTGTTAATCCCACCGTCTAATGTCACAAAATCCTGCTACGTTAAAAAAAAAACTCGTTAAAAAAAAAAGTAGATCTATCCCTGCCACTTCTGACCCCCCCCCCCCTGGAAACATTTCTTATCTAGACCAGATCGTGTTGAAGTTTGACTGTACTAGACCTGGGGTAGTTTATCGGCAGTGACACCACGCGGAATGTCCACATTCCCCCCCCCCCCCCCCACACCAACCCCGACCTCCACCACCCCCACTCTTAAGCAAACATCCTTCTCCGTGTCGTCAAGTTTCCACGTGTCATCTCTCACGAGAATTGCTCGTTGCACGCCTTTTCCACGAAGTTTTGTTTCGTTGGTAATCATTGAGGAAGCGTTTACCTACAAATAATTAATTATATCACGCACACCCATATAAATATGTTATCAGCTCATGATCCATAAATAGACACAATTCTTTTATATTTACTAAAATATCAATAACCGCCGATCAGTTTGCTTAAAATATCGATCCATTTATCTATGATAATTTCAAAATATAATACAAAACCAAGAGTTAGTCAGTGGCCTTAACTATCGATGTGTCTTCATGGCATGCTATAAGATTATCAAACGTACGAATAGCCTATGACGTATGGAAGCTATCCAACAGCCTATGACGTATGGAAGCTATCCAACAGCCTATTATGTATGGAAGCTATCCAGCAGCGTATGACGTATGGAAGCTATCCAGCAACCTATGACGTATGGAAGCTATCCTGCAACCTATGACGTATGGAAGCTATCCTGCAACCTATGACGTATGGAAGCTATCCTGCAACCTATGACGTATGGAAGCTATCCTGCAACCTATGACGTATGGAAGCTATCCTGTAACCTATGACGTATGGAAGCTATCCTGCAACCTATGACGTATGGAAGCTATCCTGCAACCTATGACGTATGGAAGCTATCCAGCATCAGAACATAAAGCTGTTGAACTTACAAGACAAAACAGAAAGACATCGTACGGAGATTAAAGAAACAAATAGAAATAACAGTGTTGTTAAATGGGGGTCATCCATAAATGACGTCACGCTTTTTTGGACGATTTTTACCCCACCTCCCCTCCGTCACACGTCGTCACAAAAAGCCAGACGCCCCCCCCCCCCCAAAAAAAAAATAAATAAATAAATAAATGACGTCACACCTCAGCCTACAACCCTCCCTCCCCCCCCAGCCCCTCAAAATTGCAGTTGAATTTTTTTTTAAACATCGATATTTTTCTAAAACCTTGTCTGAACTCTATCAAATTAGAGTATTTTAATCAACTCCTATTACAATTTATTAAAACAGTTTTCTAAAACTCGAAATAACGGCTAAAATTCGTTTTCTAACATTGCTTTTTTATGATGCAAAAGTGTGACGTCGCACCATTTGAACCGCCCTCCCCCTTCCCCCTCATCATGCACCGTCACAAAATTACGGACCCCCCCCTCCCCCCCTACGAGTGTGAAGCTTAATTTTATACATTTTTTAAAGTTTGAAAATTGTATTTGCTCTCTCTATATATAAATCTAAAAAAATACCAACCTTAATTTTAAATTTTTATTTAAAAAAAAACACATGAAAGAAAGGGGAGATCACTTTAGGTGGGTCCAAATACTTCATCGACTCAAAGAAACAAATATACAAGACAGGGTCAGCTACACAGGAGGAGGAGTACAGTCTGGAACCAAGGCCACAGCAAGACGCTGGTCAGTGCCGCTCTCTGGAACTACGTGAGTAATGTTTGCAGTCAGTCAGTACTGGGTAAGATCTGTATGGGGGTGGGTCAGGAGGGTCAGGTCTGAGGTTCCCTCTGTATGGAGGTGGGTCAGGTCTGAGGTTCCCTCTGTATGGAGGTGGGTCAGGTCTGAGGTTCCCTCTGTATGGAGGTGGGTCATGTCTAAGGTTCCCTCTGTATGGAGGTGGGTCAGGTGGGTCAGGCCTGAGGTTCCCTCTGTATGGATGTGGGTCGGGTGGGTCAGGTCTGAGGTTCCCTCTGTATGGAGGTGGGTCAGGTCTGAGGTTCCCTCTGTATGGAGGTGGGTCAGGTGGGTCAGGTCTGAGGTTCCCTCTGTATGGAGGTGGGTCAGGTGGGTCAGGTCTGAGGTTCCCTCTGTATGGAGGTGGGTCAGGTCTGAGGTTCCCTCTGTATGGAGGTGGGTCAGGTGGGTCAGGTCTGAGGTTCCCTCTGTATGGAGGTGGGTCAGGTGGGTCAGGTCTGAGGTTCCCTCTGTATGGAGGTGGGTCAGGTGGGTCAGGTCTGAGGTTCCCTATGTATGCAGGTGGGTCAGGTCTGAGGTTCCCTCTGTATGGAGGTGGGTCAGGTGGGTCAGGTCTGAGGTTCCCTCTGTATGGAGGTGGGTCAGGTCTGAGGTTCCCTCTGTATGGAGGTGGGTCAGGTCTGAGGTTCCCTCTGTATGGAGGTGGGTCAGGTCTGAGGTTCCCTCTGTATGGAGGTGGGTCAGGTGGGTCAGGTCTGAGGTTCCCTCTGTATGGAGGTGGGTCAGGTGGGTCAGGTCTGAGGTTCCCTCTGTATGGAGTTGGGTCAGGTCTGAGGTTCCCTCTGTATGGAGGTGGGTCAGGTCTGAGGTTCCCTCTGTATGGAGGTGGGTCAGGTGGGTCAGGTCTGAGGTTCTCTCTGTATGGAGGTGGGTCAGGTGGGTCAGGTCTGAGGTTCCCTCTGTATGGAGGTGGGTCAGGAGGGTCAGGTCTGAGGTTCCCTCTGTATGGAGGTGGGTCAGGTCTGAGGTTCCCTCTGTATGGAGGTGGGTCAGATCTGAGGTTCCCTATGTATGGAGGTGGGTCAGGTGGGTCAGGTCTGAGGTTCCCTCTGTATGGAGGTGGGTCAGGTCTGAGGTTCCCTCTGTATGGAGGTGGGTCAGGTGGGTCAGGTCTGAGGTTCCCTCTGTATGGAGGTGGGTCAGGTCTGAGGTTCCCTCTGTATGGAGGTGGGTCAGGTCTGAGGTTCCCTCTGTATGGAGGCGGGTCAGGTGGGTCAGGTCTGAGGTTCCCTCTGTATGGAGGTGGGTCAGATCTAAGGTTCCCTCTGTATGGAGGTGGGTCAGGTCTGAGGTTCCCTCTGTATGGAGGTGGGTCAGGTGGGTCAGGTCTGAGGTTCCCTCTGTATGGAGGTGGGTCAGGTGGGTCAGGTCTGAGGTTCCCTCTGTATGGAGGTGGGTCAGGTGGGTCAGGTCTGAGGTTCCCTCTGTATGGAGGTGGGTCAGGTGGGTCAGGTCTGAGGTTCCCTCTGTATGGAGGTGGGTCAGGTGGGTCAGGTCTGAGGTTCCCTCTGTATGGAGGTGGGTCAGGTCTGAGGTTCCCTCTGTATGGAGGTGGGTCAGGTCTGAGGTTCCCTCTGTATGGAGGTGGGTCAGGTGGGTCAGGTCTGAGGTTCCCTCTGTATGGAGGTGGGTCAGGTGGGTCAGGTCTGAGGTTCCCTCTGTATGGAGGTGGGTCAGGTCTGAGGTTCCCTCTGTATGGAGGTGGGTCAGGTGGGTCAGGTCTGAGGTTCCCTCTGTATGGAGGTGGGTCAGGTGGGTCAGGTCTGAGGTTCCCTCTGTATGGAGGTGGGTCAGGTATGTCAAAATATAAGCACTAATGAAATAAAACAACTTTTGACACGTTCTTATTTTACAAATGCACAGAATTAAACGAAACAATAAAAATCAAACGACAAAACCTGTCAGTAGTGTCGTCTGCATATGGTAGTCAGCACAAGTCTATAAATAGAACAACCCAAACAACCAACACAAAACGTCACCGTCGACAAGCATCTGTAACGTATTATATTGATGTGGTGGCGGTGGTCGACAATGGCGCGTATCAACGATTTCTATCACAGGCCAACAACGACAGGCAGACTGCCTTCCACAAGCTACAGGAATATTATGCCTTTATCTTTAATGGGGTAAGTTCAAGTTTAATTACCAAAGATTGTTGTTAGAATCGTAATGTCACTAATGATGAACTAATTTTTAGCTTTGGATTTAATATATTACAATTGTTTCTTTTTTTTTCTTTTTTTTTTTAATTCAAGTTGGACATGTTTAATAAACCATATTCAAAACATTGTGGTGTACACATCTCTAGCCATGACATTGTACACACACTCATTTATATTGCAATCAAATTGATTAATTTAATGGGCGCTGATGAGTATCATCAAATAAAGTGAGTCACATTGTGAAGTACTCTCTCCATATTTTCCTGTTATGGATTAGCTCCCCTTTCAAAGTAAAACTTGATATATGAATCTTGTAAATCATCCCAGGCTTCTAATAGCTTACACACAGCAGCTTCTGCCATTTGAGAGATTTTCTTCACAAATTCTTGAACTGTGTTCTTCTTGATATCTAGCATAAATAATGCTGTTTCTAAAATAACAGAACATCTGTCAGCAAAAAAAATATTTGAATTTGGTTTTAAGTGATGAACCATGCTGTTAGAAAAATATACAACATTGAACAGTTTGTTGTACTTGGTCTTTTTCATTAGCTCTTCATCGGTAGGAAAACAACTTCCACATCTTCTAAGGGCATCCATTCATGATCATCTTTTTCAGTTTCTGAACGTGTAGAGCTTTTGTTGTCATTGCAATTTATTTCTTTTTTATCCAAACTGTCCACATTCTCCTGTGGTTCTTGGTCGTGCTGCAAGCTGTTGGAATTATTTGTGTCACCAACAGCTCCCTTATCTTCCATTAATTCCACACCTTTAGCAATATTATTTTTCTCTTTATCCACATCAATATTGAGAAGATGGCACATGAGTTAATTTTAATGGTAGCAGATTTTGAATACATGGCAAAAAAATTTGCCTTCGTTAACTTAACACAATTAAAGTATAAAGAAAGGGATTATTTAGAGGGAATCCTAAAGTTTTGGCGAAAAAAATAAATGAAATATCCTTTTGAAATTAGTAAGTGCTGGGATTGAAGACTCCGCCAACTGCTAGATCTAGGAGTTAGATATGACAGCCGATTAAATGTTTTTGACTGGGACTACAATATGTAACTAATTGAGAGAGGGGGTTCAATAGTTTACATCAGACTGGAGAAACACTGATGTGGCATTTAAAATAAGAGAAGGAACTTATCATGTACCTAACAGAACTTTAGCCTCAGCTATGGTTTTTAAACTTGACGGTGAAAGGTTTACAATTGTTTCTTAAAATAACAGGTGCTTTGACATAAGCAAAAAATACATTAATGTCAATGGATTCAAAATTAAGCAATGCCAAGTTTAATTTTTTAAAGGGGTATCTGCGTAATAATAACACGTTAATTATTCGCAAAAGGTTAAAAAAAATTCAAAATAATTCAAAACCACGTTTTAAGATAAATGTATTTTTATTAATTAAACTAAACTTTAGGGTTCTCTTAGTTTTAAAATGTATTATAAAAAAAACAACAACTTTTTTTCAGAAACCCCACAGTTATTTCCCATAAGTATCGCCTTACAGTTACGTCCCATTATTGTCGCCCTACATTGCTGCAGGTAATATTTTCTCATCATGTTTTGCAGGTGGACATGCTGTATCGCGACATCTGGCCAGAGTACGAGATTAGAGTCAGACTTAACGCAATACACGTCGCTGAGGTACATAGCTTAAACAAAACATTGGGATACTTTTGAATTTGATACTGTGATAATACTTCGATAGGTCATTTTGGGGACTTACGGGGCTCCCGGCAGTGATTAACAATATATATATATATATATATATATATATATATATATATATATATATATATATATATATATATATATATATATATATATATACACACGCATATCTGTATACATATATACATATGTATATGTATATGTATACAGATATGCGTGTATGTATGTATATGCGTGCGAGTATGTATGTGTGAATGTGTATGTATATAAGCTAATGTTTTTCCCTGTGTGGAGCAGACTCTAGCGACGTCGGAGTTCACTGAAAAGTTTAATAAAGGCGGTCAAGTGGACGCCGAGAAAGCCATCAGCGCATTCAAAGTGTTTTGTGTGGTCAAAGCTAATTGGCTGTTGCGGTACGACCACGCCATGTTGTTCACCGGGTAGGTCTTTGATGCCGTTTTTATTCTGGGAAGGTGTTTTGTTATTTACTGGTTAGGTCATTTACTTTGTAGGTGTTTTGTCAATACTGGGTAGGTCTTTGATGCCGTTTTGTACCGGGAAGGTGTTTTGTCAATTGCCGGGTAGGTCTTTAATGCCGTTATTTTTTTCTGGGAAGGTATTTTGTCATTTCGGGGTACGTGTTTTGTCAATCATGGTTAGGTCTTTGATGCTGTTTTGTACCGGTAAGGTGTTTTGTCAATTATGGGTAGGTCTTTGATGCCGTTATTTTTTTCTGGGAAGGTATTTTGTCATTTCGGGGTACGTGTTTTGTCAATCATGGTTAGGTCTTTGATGCTGTTTTGTACCGGTAAGGTGTTTTGTCAATTATGGGTAGGTCTTTGATGCCGTTTTGTTATGGGAAGGTGTTTTGTCAATTACTTTGTATGTGTTTTGTCAATTGTGGGTAGGTCTTTGATGCCGTTTTGTTATGGGAAGGTGTTTTGTCAATTACTTTGTATGTGTTTTGTCAATTGTGGGTAGGTCTTTGATGCCGTTTTGTAACGGGAAGGTGTTTTGTCATTTACTTTGTAGGTGTTTTGTCAATTGTGGGTAGGTCTTTGATGCCGTTTTGTACCGGGAAGGTGTTTTGTCAATTACCGGGTGTGTCTTTGATGATATTGATGACTGTAAGATAGAGCCCTGTTGGTTCATGGACATTTGTAAAAAGTAGGAGCCGGACATTTTCCCGAAAGACACTTGCCCGACCGAATGTGTCTTTCAACTTAGTAATGTATAATATTAACATTTTTTTCGGGTGAACGGCCTTAGATCAAGTGGTTTTTAGGTGTTTATCGCATTCGGGCAAGTATCCATTTGGGCATTTTTCGCATTCAGGCAAGTGTCCATTCGGGCATTTTTCGCATTCGGGCAAGCGTCCATTCGGGCGTTTGTCGCATTCGGGCAAGTGTCCATTCGGGCCTTTGTTGGAAATTTGAGATAGTGTCTCATCATACATTGGGTTAGGTTTTGTGTTTGTTGTTTGTTAATAATAGTCACATAACACACCATCTCTTGAAGAAGATTCCGTTATGTAGCGTTACCGGACGCTGGTATGGAACAAACACCACTTCTGATAGAAGGTAGCTTGATATAGAAGTATTTATCTATGATCATGTGTCTTATAATGTACTCCCATCCACTCTAGCTACGACTTAACGAGCGTTGAATACTATGGTGTCTCAAAGTCTATTGTTGGTAAGTTTTTAAATTATTATTATCATTATATATATATATATATATATATATATTTATATATATATATATATATATATATATATATATATATATATATATATATATATATATATATATATATATATATATATATATATATATATATATATATATATATATATATATATATATATATATATATATATATATATATATATATATATATATAGGGGGGACCTATAGTTATTTAACCCCCCCCCACAAACAAAATAAACCCAAAAAATAACCCAAAATTAACCCAAACACGAGCACAAACAGACATACAAATGTACAAATCTATTTTCCCCTTTGTGACAAATAAGTCACCAAAGTGTAACATTCTGCACTCAAATAGCTATACATGTATATACACGTAAAATTAAATCGAGCTCTCACCTAAAGATGATACATCAGCTTTTATATATACAAATACGTTTACGACGCCGTGCGTTCGATTACTCGCGTAACATCGCGGGCTCAAGTCCGGATGAAGTCCCTGAATCCACCCTGCTCTAAATCAAGTCATAATCGTAGACAGCTTGGTATACAGCTGACCACACTCCTTCTTTCTTCTTCGTTCTTAATTTTAGTGTTGGACGGTATTCCCTTTAACACAATTAAGTATACGTGTTAACTGGTTATGCGCCATTGAGGCCATTGACTCCGATTGCAGCCTGATTTTCTTTTTGGATTTGCTTCCATAGCCTTTGTCCAACCAAGAACAAACTACAAGGCAGCAGTTGTTTGATTTTGGTCTCTCCTAGAAGAGTGGCTGTCCCCAGCTAACGGGCCTCATCTGCCCGAGGGTTCGACCCCCCTCCCCTTAGACAAATCTGCGCAGTAAATTGTGCTCATCAAATTCATCACATGAAAGTTCTGTATTAATATATATATTCATGAAATTATACTAACAAAAAAGTATGCCAATAAAAAAACTCAAATCACAGTTCAAAGACCTAATGTATTGTTTGTTATTCTTGCACCTCTGATCCATCTATCGTCTGCAGGCTTGGCGTACACGACGACCATGTGTCAGAAGGACGGGACAAGCGTCTCAATCATCGAGGACATGGGCGGCTATGAGGCCATCCACACCGCCACCCACGAGCTAGGTCACAGGTCAGTCACATGCTGTGACAACACATTCACTTTTTACTTTCTCGTATACGAAGTATAGAGGAATTATTGTATCCTGCAAAAAAATCGAAATCGAGATTTTCAGTTTTCACAAATCTCGACGTTTTACACGTCACTGAGTCGGAAAACATAGTTTTGCAAATTTGTCCGTATGTGTGTGTGTGTGTATGTATGTGTGTATGTATGTGTGTGTCTGTCAACACGATAACTTGAATACCGTTACATCTAGTTTGATGAAATTTCATATATAAGTTTATATCAAATTTGTAGTTCTGTTTCAACTTTTCAGCAATTTCCGATAGCCGGAAATGATACTTATTCTACTTTTAGTTTTTCAAAAGCCTATAACTTGAGTACTGTTTCAGATAGATAAACACAATTTTACATATAAGTAAAAGATCTAATTTCGGCATTCTTTCAAATTTTGAGTAATTTCCGTTGACTGGAAGTAGTAATTTACGCAATTTTCGATTTCTAAAAAAAACGCATATGAATTTATAAAGTACTAATAATATTCATCACTATTATACACATATTGTTTGCCGTTCACTTGGCGGTTTATTTGATATGTAGCCGAAAATAAAGTAAATAATAAAAAAATTATAATAAATAAAATAAGAAAAAAAAAAGAAAATTAATGAAAGAAACAAGACCCTTGTCATCTCAAAAAAATATTCAAAGCCTGAAAATAAAGTTTTGAAAAATTCCTTCATTGTATTTAAAGAGTACGCCAATTGTCTATAATCACGTCGTCTCTCATGATTTATCTTCCCCTGGTTCCAGCTTGTCGGCCAGACATGACGGGGAGGGCAACACCTGTCGTCTGTCAGACCGTTACATCATGGCGGCATCCAGCTACAACCAGACAGACGACAACCGCTACAACCCCTGGCAGTTTTCTCGCTGCTCTAAGTCCTACATCAACGGCTACATCAACCAGTTGGTTGGGACTCAGTGAGTTGATAGGTCTATTGTTAGACTTGGCTAGTTACATCAGTTGGTCAGTGAGTTGATATGTCTATTGTTAGACATGGCTAGTTACATCAGTGAGTTGATAGGTCTATTGTTAGACTTGGCTAGTTACATCAGTTGGTCAGTGAGTTGATATGTCTATTGTTAGACATGGCTAGTTACATCAGTGAGTTGATAGGTCTATTGTTAGACATGGCTAGTTACATCAGTGAGTTGATAGGTCTATTGTTAGACATGGCTAGTTACATCAGTGAGTTGATAGGTCTATTGTTAGACATGGCTAGTTACATCAGTGAGTTGATAGGTCTATTGTTAGACATGGCTAGTTACATTAGTGAGTTGATAGGTCTATTGTTAGACATGGCTAGTTACATCAACCAGTTGGTTAGGACTCAGTGAGTTGATAGGTCTATTGTTAGACTTGGCTAGTTACATCAGTTGGTCAGTGAGTTGATATGTCTATTGTTAGACATGGCTAGTTACATCAGTGAGTTGATAGGTCTATTGTTAGACATGGCCAGTTACATCAGTGAGTTGATAGGTCTATTGTTAGACATGGCTAGTTACATCAGTGAGTTGATAGGTCTATTGTTAGACATGGCTAGTTACATCAGTGAGTTGATAGGTCTATTGTTAGACATGGCTAGTTACATCAGTGAGTTGATAGGTCTATTGTTAGACTTGGCTAGTTACATCAGTGAGTTGATAGGTCTATTGTTAGACATGGCTAGTTACATCAGTGAGTTGATAGGTCTATTGTTAGACATGGCTAGTTACATCAGTGAGTTGATAGGTCTATTGTTAGACATGGCTAGTTACATCAGTGAGTTGATAGGTCTATTGTTAGACATGGCTAGTTACATCAGTGAGTTGATAGGTCTATTGTTAGACATGGCTAGTTACATCAGTGAGTTGATAGGTCTATTGTTAGACATGGCTAGTTACATCAGTGAGTTGATAGGTCTATTGTTAGACATGGCTAGTTACATCAGTGAGTTGATAGGTCTATTGTTAGACATGGCCAGTTACATCAGTGAGTTGATAGGTCTATTGTTAGACATGGCTAGTTACATCAACCAGTTGGTTCGGACTCAGTGAGTTGATAGGTCTATTGTTAGACATGGCTAGTTACATCAGTGAGTTGATAGGTCTATTGTTAGACATGGCTAGTTACATCAGTGAGTTGATAGGTCTATTGTTAGACATGGCTAGTTACATCAGTGAGTTGATAGGTCTATTGTTAGACATGGCTAGTTACATCAGTGAGTTGATAGGTCTATTGTTAGACATGGCTAGTTACATCACTGAGTTGATAGGTCTATTGTTAGACATGGCTAGTTACATCAGTGAGTTGATAGGTCTATTGTTAGACATGGCTAGTTACATCAGTGAGTTGATAGGTCTATTGTTAGACATGGCTAGTTACATCAACCAGTTGGTTGGGACTCAGTGAGTTGATAGGTCTATTGTTAGACTTGGCTAGTTACATCAGTTGGTCAGTGAGTTGATATGTCTATTGTTAGACATGGCCAGTTACATCAGTGAGTTGATAGGTCTATTGTTAGACATGGCTAGTTACATCAGTGAGTTGATAGGTCTATTGTTAGACATGGCTAGTTACATCAGTGAGTTGATAGGTCTATTGTTAGACATGGCTAGTTACATCAGTGAGTTGATAGGTCTATTGTTAGACATGGCCAGTTACATCAGTGAGTTGATAGGTCTATTGTTAGACATGGCTAGTTACATCAGTGAGTTGATAGGTCTAATGTTAGATATGGCTAGTTACATCAGTAGATAGATACAGGCCTAGTGATGTGTCCATCAGAGCCTAGTGATGTGTCCATTAGGGCCTAGTGATGTGTCCATCAGAGCCTAGTGATGTGTCCATCAGAGCCTAGTGAGTGTCCATTAGGCCTAATGATGGGTCTATTAGGGCCTAGTGATGTGTCCATCAGAGCCTAGTGAGTGTCCATCAGAGCCTAGTGAGTGTCCATTAGGCCTAATGATGGGTCCATTAGGGCCTAGTGATGTATCCATTAGAGCCTAGTGATGTGTCCATCAGAGCCTAGGGATGTGTCCATCAGAGCCTAGTGAGTGTCCATTAGGCCTATTGATGGGTCTATTAGGGCCTAGTGATGTGTCCATCAGAGCCTAGTGAGTGTCCATCAGAGCCTAGTGAGTGTCCATTAGGCCTAATGATGGGTCCATTAGGGCCTAGTGATGTGTCCATTAGAGCCTAGTGATGTGTCCATCAGAGCCTAGGGATTTGTCCATCAGAGCCTAGGGATGTGTCCATCAGAGCCTAGTGAGTGTCCATTAGGCCTAATGATGGGTCCATCAGAGCCTAGGGATGTGTCCATTAGGCCTAGTGAGTGTCCATTAGGCCTAGTGATGTGTCCATTAGGGCCTAGTGATGTGTCCATTAGGGCCTAGTGATGTGTCCATTAGAGCCTAGTGATGTGTCCATTAGGCCTAGTGAGTGTCCATTAGGCCTAGTGATGTGTCCATTAGGGCCTAGTGATGTGTCCATCAGAGCCTAGGGATGTGTCCATTAGAGCCTAGTGATGTGTCTATTAGAGCCTAGTGAGTGTCCATTAGGCCTAGTGAGTGTCCATTAGAGCCTAGTGATGTTTCAATTGGGGCCTAGAGTAGTGTCCATTAGGGCCTAGTGAGTGTCCATTAGGGCCTAGTGAGTGTCCATTAGAGCCTAGTGATGTGTCCATTAGGCCTAACGAGTGTCCATTAGAGCCTAGTGAGTGTCCCTTAGGGCCGAGTGATATCCATGAGGGCCTAGTGATGGGTCCATTAGGGCCTAGTGATGGGTCCATTAGGGCCTAGTGATGGGTCCATTAGGGCCTAGTGATGGGTCCATTAGGGCCTAGTGATGGGTCCATTAGGGCCTAGTGATGGGTCCATTAGGGCCTAGTGATTGGTCCATGAGGGCCTAGTGATGTGTCCATTAGGGCCTTAATTTGTTGCTTAACACGTAGACATTGAAATATGTGTATGTATTTTATATGATCACTCTATATAAATTGATCAAATCCGTATTCTTGTCAATGTTAGAAACTTTTCGATTATTAACAAAATCCGATTGTAGCATTAAATTCACTGTAATTTTCATTAGCTACTTTTTAATAGTCAGAATATTTTTTTAAAGAGCGATAAGGCAAAATTTTAAAGAAAAATGAGGCAATTAAAAGAAAATTGAGAGTGATTAGGTTATATTTACGAAAGTTATCTTTTCCATAGGCGTGCCCAGTGCCTGATTGAGAAACAGCCAATCAGCGAAGTCCTTCCATACGTCGACCAGCGTCTGCTGGGTCAAGAGTTGCCACCAGACGAACAATGTAAACAGATTTATGGCGCCAAATCTTTCTACTGTAGGGTTCGTGGCCGTTCAGATTTTGTTGACGAATTTACTTGACAAGTTGCATTGAAGTTATCTTGACCAATCTTCTAGACAAATCTCCTTACAAATTTGCTAGACAAATTACCGTAATCAATTTTCTTTGCCGATCCTTTCGACTACTTTTCTTGACGCAATTTCTTTGACAAATGATCTCGACGATTTTTCTTGACAAATTTTCCTAACATTTGCTTAACAAATTAAATTATCAACACCTCACTCATTAAGTAAAACAAGTTTAATGGACTTTAGTAAAAATAAGGGTACAAAACCTCTCGGGGGGGGGGGGGGGGCAACCTTTCCTCTAATCAGTGGCGTAGCCAGGATCGTCTCAAGGGGGGGGGGGGGTCCAATTTTTACCCGGGGACAAACTTTCGATTTGCACCCCCCTCTCAAACTTTCGATTTGCACCCCCCCCTCATACCTTTTATATATATACCGAGGGGTCTATGGGGGGGTATGACCCCCCTAACCCCCCACTGCCTACGCCACTGCTCTAAAGTCTAAAGCGAAAAAGCTAGTGTGCAACTTTTATTTTGTGTGCGCGGTTTTCTAAGTCTTATATAAGGCTAAAAGTATTTTTAGAAAATCTCTGCGCGGCAGGTTCAAAACTACTGCGCGGCCGCACAACAGTGCAGCTTAAGGGGAACATGGGGGGGGGGGGGGTCGCTCTTCTCCCCTGAAGAGATGCCTGGAAGAAACTCTGGTTGTTTTGTGTTGTGTGGTTTTGTTTAGTTCTATTTTATTTTCTACCCTCTAAGTCTGACAAATCCCTGTAGTTTAAACAATACCATAAAAAAAAGTTGTCGCTGCGACTGATTAAAATATCGACTGGTATCTGCCCCTCCCCCCCCCACAGACAATCGAAGCTGGCGGCAATGCCGGCGTGTGCACGTCCCTGTACTGTGCCGACCCTGGGGACCTAGAGATGTGCTACAGGACGGAGGCGCTGCACGGTACAACGTGTGGGGACCGTAGGGTGAGTACCTGGGGGTGGGGGGTGGGGATGGGGGGTGGGGTGGGGGATGTGCTACAGGACGGAGGCGCTGCACGGTACAACGTGTGGGGACCGTAGGGTGAGTACCTGGGGGTGGGGGGTGGGGATGGGGGGTGGGGTGGGGGATGTGCTACAGGACGGAGGCGCTGCACGGTACAACGTGTGGGGACCGTAGGGTGAGTACCTGGGGGTGGGGGGTGGGGATGGGGGGTGGGGTGGGGGATGTGCTACAGGACGGAGGCGCTGCACGGTACAACGTGTGGGGACCGTAGGGTGAGTACCTGGGGGTGGAGGGTGGGGGTGGAGATGTGCTACAGGACGGAGGCGCTGCACGGTACAACGTGTGGGGACCGTAGGGTGAGTACCAGGGGGTGGGGACCTAGAGATGTGCTACAGGACGGAGGCGCTGCACGGTACAACGTGTGGGGACCGTAGGGTGAGTACCAGGGGGTGGGGGGTGGGGGTGGAGATGTGCTACAGGACGGAGGCGCTGCACGGTACAACGTGTGGGGACCGTAGGGTGAGTACCTGGGGGTGGAGGGTGGGGGTGGGGGGTGGGGTGGGGGATGTGCTACAGGACGGAGGCGCTGCACGGTACAACGTGTGGGGACCGTAGGGTGAGTACCTGGGGGTGGAGGGTGGGGGTGGAGATGTGCTACAGGACGGAGGCGCTGCACGGTACAACGTGTGGGGACCGTAGGGTGAGTACCAGGGGGTGGGGGGGTGGAGATGTGCTACAGGACGGAGGCGCTGCACGGTACAACGTGTGGGGACCGTAGGGTGAGTACACGGGGGGTGGGGGGTGGAGATGTGCTACAGGACGGAGGCGCTGCACGGTACAACGTGTGGGGACCGTAGGGTGAGTACCTGGGGGTGGAGGGATGGAGATGTGCTACAGGACGGAGGCGCTGCACGGTACAAAGTGTGGGGACCGTAGGCTGAGTACCTGGGGGTGGGGGAGGGTGTGGGAGATGTGCTACAGGACGGAGGCGCTGCACGGTACAAAGTGTGGGGACCGTAGGCTGAGTACCTGGGGGTGGGGGAGGGTGTGGGAGATGTGCTACAGGACGGAGGCGCTGCACGGTACAAAGTGTGGGGACCGTAGGCTGAGTACCTGGGGGTGGGGGAGGGTGTGGGGGTGGGGGAGGGTGTGGGAGATGTGCTACAGGACGGAGGCGCTGCACGGTACAACGTGTGGGGACCGTAGGGTGAGTACCTGGGGGTGGGGGGTGGTGGTGGAGATGTGCTACAGGACGGAGGCGCTGCACGGTACAACGTGTGGGGACCGTAGGGTGAGTACCTGGGGGTGGGGGGTGGGGATGGGGGGTGGGGTGGGGGATGTGCTACAGGACGGAGGCGCTGCACGGTACAACGTGTGGGGACCGTAGGGTGAGTACCTGGGGGTGGGGGGTGGGGATGGGGGGTGGGGTGGGGGATGTGCTACAGGACGGAGGCGCTGCACGGTACAACGTGTGGGGACCGTAGGGTGAGTACCTGGGGGTGGAGGGTGGGGGTGGAGATGTGCTACAGGACGGAGGCGCTGCACGGTACAACGTGTGGGGACCGTAGGGTGAGTACCAGGGGGTGGGGACCTAGAGATGTGCTACAGGACGGAGGCGCTGCACGGTACAACGTGTGGGGACCGTAGGGTGAGTACCAGGGGGTGGGGGGTGGGGGTGGAGATGTGCTACAGGACGGAGGCGCTGCACGGTACAACGTGTGGGGACCGTAGGGTGAGTACCAGGGGGTGGGGGGTGGGGGTGGAGATGTGCTACAGGACGGAGGCGCTGCACGGTACAACGTGTGGGGACCGTAGGGTGAGTACCTGGGGGTGGAGGGTGGGGGTGGGGGGTGGGGTGGGGGATGTGCTACAGGACGGAGGCGCTGCACGGTACAACGTGTGGGGACCGTAGGGTGAGTACCTGGGGGTGGAGGGTGGGGGTGGAGATGTGCTACAGGACGGAGGCGCTGCACGGTACAACGTGTGGGGACCGTAGGGTGAGTACCAGGGGGTGGGGGGGTGGAGATGTGCTACAGGACGGAGGCGCTGCACGGTACAACGTGTGGGGACCGTAGGGTGAGTACACGGGGGGTGGGGGGTGGAGATGTGCTACAGGACGGAGGCGCTGCACGGTACAACGTGTGGGGACCGTAGGGTGAGTACCTGGGGGTGGAGGGATGGAGATGTGCTACAGGACGGAGGCGCTGCACGGTACAAAGTGTGGGGACCGTAGGCTGAGTACCTGGGGGTGGGGGAGGGTGTGGGAGATGTGCTACAGGACGGAGGCGCTGCACGGTACAAAGTGTGGGGACCGTAGGCTGAGTACCTGGGGGTGGGGGAGGGTGTGGGAGATGTGCTACAGGACGGAGGCGCTGCACGGTACAAATTGTGGGGACCGTAGGCTGAGTACCTGGGGGTGGGGGAGGGTGTGGGGGTGGGGGAGGGTGTGGGAGATGTGCTACAGGACGGAGGCGCTGCACGGTACAACGTGTGGGGACCGTAGGGTGAGTACCTGGGGGTGGGGGGTGGTGGTGGAGATGTGCTATAGGACGGAGGCGCTGCACGGTACAACGTGTGGGGACCGTAGGGTGAGTACCTGGGGCTGGGGGGTGGTGGTGGAGATGTGCTACAGGACGGAGGCGCTGCACGGTACAACGTGTGGGGACCGTAGGGTGAGTACCTGGGGGTGGGGGTGGGGGTGGGGTGGAGATGTGCTACAGGACGGAGGCGCTGCACGGTACAACGTGTGGGGACCGTAGGATGAGTACACGGGGGTGGGGGGATGGAGATGTGCTACAGGACGGAGGCGCTGCACGGTACAACGTGTGGGGACCGTAGGGTGAGTACCTGGGGGGGGGAGGTGGAAGTGGGTGAATTGGGAAGTGAGTGGGAGGGTTAATTTTGGTAGATGGTGAGGGAGGAGGATTAGGGAGCATTCAGGATGTAAGGAAGTGGGTGTTGAGAAGGGTTACCTCGACAAATATTTATGTTTTGTTTGTGTTCACATTATTGTTCTATTTATAGATGTGTGTATCCGGTCACTGTGTGACACACCCTAAGGCTCAACACGTCGATGGTAAGCTCGGTTAAATAACACACCTTGTATACACACGTTAATACCAGATAACACGCACACTGCACAAATGCACACACTCATGAATGCACACACACACACACTTACAAACACACACACACTTACAAACACACACACACACTACAACACACACACACGCACACACGCACTCTACACAAACACACTCACGCATAAACGTAGTCATAGTTTGGTAACTAAACTCGGGGCAGGATAAAATACTATTTTCGTCATTCATTATTTTTACATTTTTTTTTAGGTACTAGTATGTAACTAAGTTAACATCTATCGTAATGTAATATTGACCAATGTCCTACATCATGAGTTATATTTGACAAAAGACGGTACGTGATTGTTGATGGGTACAGAGGCGTAGCGACCCATTCCTGCGCCCGGGATCAACTTTGCGTCACCCCCGCCATTTATATACTAAAAGGCCCCTCATCCAGTAGTTGTATAGTTATTCATATTGGCAGACCCCCCCCCCCCCCCCCCTCCCCCCAGTACTTTTTTCCTTAACGGTTTTTATGTTGGTGTTGAAAAACTGATGTAGAAAACAGTTAATTAAGTCCTTAAAGCTAAGTATCAGTCTATGAACATTTTTTTGCTACCCGTTTCGGCGCCCCCTTAAGGTCGGCGCCCATGGCGGCCGCCCCACCCGCCCTCCCCTAGTTACGCCTCTGGTCGGGTAATAATACAGTATTTTAAAAGTTGTTTTTTTCCTCTCTTGAGTTATCGCTATCATTTCTGCAACTAGGTTCATGTATGTGTCTAACTAAATCTTCAATAAGTTATGCATTTGCTAGGCTTAGAGCCTAAGGTATGCAGCTGTTGGCTTAGGCTCAGGGTTAGGCTAATGACAGCAACACAAAAAAAGCAAAATCAGTACACCTTGTCGGCAAACATATAACAACCATGGCAGTTAAAAGTCTCATACAAATTGTCACTCCCCCCCCCCCTCCAGAGAGCTGCGTGTTCGGGGACGTCCAAGGCCAGCCGTTTAACGGCCGCTCGTGTCGTCAGCTCATCAGCACCTTCCCAGGCTACTGCTACCAGCATGCCGTCAAGGTCAGCTGCTGCGCCAGTTGTGCGGCTGTCTTCAGACCGGTCAGGGGTGAGTCGTTAGTGTAGGGAGTGGGTGGTACAGGGTTGGTTGGTTGGGGGTGAGTCGTTAGTGTAGGGAGTGGGTGGTATATGGTTGGTTGGGTGGGGTGAGTCGTTAGTGTAGGGAGTGGGTGGTACAGGGTTGGTTGGGTGGGGTGAGTCGTTAGTGTAGGGAGTGGGTGGTACAGGGTTGGTTGGGTGGGGTGAGTCGTTAGTGTAGGGAGTGGGTGGTATATGGTTGGTTGGGTGGGGTGAGTCGTTAGTGTAGGGAGTGGGTGGTACAGGGTTGGTTGGGTGGGGTGAGTCGTTAGTGTAGGGAGTGAGTGGTACAGGGTTGGCTGGTTGTGGTGAGTCGTTAATGTAGGGAGTGAGTGGTACAGGGTTGGTTGGGTGGGGTGAGTCGTTAGTGTAGGGTGGGTGGTACAGGGTTGGCTGGGTGAAGAGAGTGGTTTTTTGGTTGTTTTATATGGTTAGCTGGTTGTGTTGAATGGTTTTAGGTTGTGTTTTATAAGGTCGTTTGGTGTCTTAAAGTCTTTGTTGTAAAATTGTGTTGAATGTTATTTCAGTTTTTTTATGGTGAGTTAACTATACTGTACTTTAACCATAGGCTTACAACACATAGCCAAATGTTGACGATAGCCTGTATAATATATATATATATATATATATATATATATATATATATATATATATATATATATATATATATATATATATATAAACTAACATTTGAACCTTGAACAAGCGTGTGAGTATGGTGACGTGAGCACTGGTTGTCAAAGCACGTATTGTCAGTTGTATGACGAGCCCATGCACTGCTGTGGCACCTGTCAACTTGGTCAGCCGTACCCTCAGGCCTCGCTCGACATGACAGGTGGGTTGTCATGCGTAGGTACATGTAGGTACACCACGGGTGTAGTTAGACAGTTCTGTCCATTGATGGAATCTTTGTTTATAGTGACATATACATATATTTTAACACTCACACACAGACACATAGACACACAGTTACACACACAGTCACATACAAAAACACAGCAAGTTACATATCACGTGATGCCACTGATACTTCTAGTCTGCAGTGACAGCCAGGACTTTGTCCTACCCGGGGGGTTAAAATGTCCTGATGTCCTTCAAGGCAATAAACACCTGTGTTACCAGCAGACCATCAGGGAGAGATGCTGTAGCTCTTGTAGTGTGGTCAGCTCAGGTGTTAGGGGTAAGTTTGTGTACCTGTAGCAGGTGTTAAGTTAAGGTCAATTCAGGTGTTAGGTGTAAGTTTGTGTACCTTTATTAGGTGTTAAGGTCAACTCAGGTGTTAGGGGTAAGTTTGTGTACCTTTATTAGGTGTTAAGGTCAACTCAGGTGTTAGGGGTAAGTTTGTATACCTGTAGGTAAGGTCAACTCAGATGTTAGGGGTAAGTTTGTACACCTTTAGTAGGTGTTAAGGTAAGGTCAACTCAGGTGCTAGGGGTAAGTTTGTACACCTTTAGTAGGTGTTAAGGTCAACTCAGGTGCTAGGGGTAAGTTTGTACACCTTTAGTAGGTGTTAAGGTCAACTCAGGTGCTAGGGGTAAGTTTGTGTACCTGCAGTAGGTGTTAAGGTAAGGTCAACTCAGGTGTTAGGGGTAAGTTTGTATACCTTTAGTAGGTGTTAAGGTAAGGTCAACTCAGGTGCTAGGGGTAAGTTTGTGTACCTGTAGGTAAGGTCAACTCAGGTGTTAGGGGTAAGTTTGTATACCTGTAGGTAAGGTCAACCCAGGTGTTAGGGGTAAGTTTGTGTACCTGTAGGTAAGGTCAACTCAGGTGTTAGGGGTAAGTTTGTGTACCTGTAGGTAAGGTCAACTCAGGTGTTAGGGGTAAGTTTGTATACCTTTAGTAGGTGTTAAAGTAAGGTCAACTCAGGTGTTAGGGGTAAGTTTGTACACCTTTAGTAGGTGTTAAGGTAAGGTCAACTCAGGTGCTAGGGGTAAGTTTGTACACCTTTAGTAGGTGTTAAGGTCAACTCAGGTGCTAGGGGTAAGTTTGTACACCTTTAGTAGGTGTTAAGGTCAACTCAGGTGCTAGGGGTAAGTTTGTGTACCTGCAGTAGGTGTTAAGGTAAGGTCAACTCAGGTGTTAGGGGTAAGTTTGTATACCTTTAGTAGGTGTTAAGGTAAGGTCAACTCAGGTGCTAGGGGTAAGTTTGTGTACCTGTAGGTAAGGTCAACTCAGGTGTTAGGGGTAAGTTTGTATACCTGTAGGTAAGGTCAACCCAGGTGTTAGGGGTAAGTTTGTGTACCTGTAGGTAAGGTCAACTCAGGTGTTAGGGGTAAGTTTGTGTACCTGTAGGTAAGGTCAACTCAGGTGTTAGGGGTAAGTTTGTATACCTTTAGTAGGTGTTAAAGTAAAGTCAACTCAGGTGTTAGGGGTAAGTTTTTATACCTTTAGTAGGTGTTAAGGTAAGGTCAACTCAGGTGTTAGGGGTAAGTTTGTATACCTGTAGCAGGTGTGGATGGTAAGTTTGTACACCTGCTGCAAGGGTGGAGGGTAAGTTTGTATACCTGTAGCGGGGGTGGGGGGGGGGGTAAGTTTGTACACCTGTATCGGGGGTGGAGGGTAAGTTTGTACACCTGCAGCAAGGGTGGAGGGTAAGTTTGTATACCTGTAGCGGGGGTGGGGGGTAAGTTTGTACACCTGTATTGGGGTGGAGGGTAAGTTTGTACACCTGTAGTTGCTGTGGAGGGTAAGTTTGTACACTTATAGCGAGCGACTTTACCACTACACATGTTTCATTAAAGTTTTTAATTAAAAAAACACAACAACTGAGAAATGCTGTTAAGACAATCGACAGAACGAGTTCGACTGGGTAAAGATTTTCGATACAAATAAAAAACAACAAAATTACAACAAATATAATTTTGAAAGAAATATGATGTTTCTTTTATTTGAGTGTGGGTTGTCTCCCTCCCCAGGCTGTGAGTACGGGGACCACGCCCCCTGGATGTGTGAAGCTCACCGGTCATGTGACACGAACCGCGACCTCTGCTGTGTCACGTGCGCTAGTACAGCTTCTATCAACTTCCGGTACCATGTTGAGTTGTGGACCCTGAAACTAAGCTTGCATGGTCTGGCTATGCCGTTGATAGCAATTTTATTTTCTAGAATAATCTACAACAGTTAATCTCAATGTCCTAGCTACAACTATATATGAATCTGTTGCTATAAATAAATGTTTTTTAACATTTCATCTCTTACATATTTTTGCTACATTTAAAATTAATGTCAAAAGTAAGTTAAAGGGTAATAAGTTTTTAGAAAGATTATTTGTTACTTTATCATTGTTAATTCCCTTTTTTATGCTGCCTTTTTATCCATGATATATAGTTTTATATATGTTACGGTCAAAGCCCGAAGTGCGGCCAATGCTAGGATTGGCCGGCCTATCCGCGCGTTGGCCGGCTCTCTTGGCCAAAGCCCGAAGAACTTAGCACTCAGATCGTATTTCGTACATTGGCCGGCCAATGCGCGCACTGGCCAGGACGTACTGGCCAAAGACCGAAGCGCTTAAACTTGACAGCGTATTGTGTACATTGGCCGGCCAATGCGCGCACTGGCCGAGATGTCCTGGCCAATGTTCTATCTAGACTAAGTTGTGATCGCATTTTCATTAATCTGGGTGCGTTTTCATTGAGAGTAACGTATTGTTCAGCTCTTGTTTGTATAGCATTCTATATGCAAGGCGACATGGATCAAAAGGGCCGTCAGACCATGAGACAGACATAGCAGATGGCTGTCAAAAGAAAAAAATGTAAATCCATGTTAGTTTCCATATATGGGCTCTCGATAAAATTATTACTGAGGAAGATCTTGAGAACATTGAACAAGAAATGGAGGTTGCCATGAATGCAACGACATCCTCAGCTAACACATCTACTGCCGTGGCGGAACGCCCAGACCAGATGCGTGACAATAATGTTGCCAACAGATTCTATATAGTTTGTGAAAAACATTGTAGTTCAGCTCATTCTTTTGGATCCTGTGGCAACGATGTCCATGCTATTTGTGGAATACCCAATGAAGCAGACGAAGGGTACGGAGGGAACATTACCTGCAGATTGTGTCACAACAAACAAGACATCATGGAACACAGATCAGCAGCTCATACTGGCTTGCAAACTCAAGGTGCTAAGATGCTTAAAACATCAAATACAAAATTTAAAGATGCTGAAGTGGATGACAATGTACGCTTTCGTTTTCCAAATGTTGACAGAGATCACGGCGATCCGCGAAGCGTGATTGCAGTTGTCATGAGCGTCGAGGGTGGTTTCTACAAATTAGGAACGGAACATGGTGTTCCAAAACAACTGTATGCTAGAAGTGAGTTTTCAATTCTTCACGAAAAACTGCTCTTATTGTCGTCAGTTGGCACTGAGAAAAAATCACTACGAACCATCGCATCTTCACAATCATTGACTGGGGGCCAAGGCTATACTCGCTGCAATTACACAACTAAGTGCACAACAAATCGCTGCAAGTGTAAAAATAAAAAGCTGCTATGTAATTCTAAATGCCATAAAAGTTCAACTTGTTGTAACAAATGATGATATTGATAGATTGAGACTATAGTACAATAAAAAATTTAAATGATTCTGTCTTTTACTTTAATTAATAATCAATAAAGACTTAATTTCATGATCCTTAGGGCATAAAAAAAAACCCAAAATCTGCTCATGATCTTCTAATTCGGACTTTGGCCGGTCATCCCTAGCCAGATGATCTTCTAATTAAGACTTTGGCCGGTCCACCATGGCCAGTCCGCGGACTGGCCGGCCAAAGGCCGAAATCAAGCAAAGTTTCGGACTTTGACCGACCTATGGGAGGCGATATTGGCCAATGCGTGGATTGGCCGGCCAATCCTAGCATTGGCCGACTTCGGGCTTTGACCGTAACATATACATACTGTTCGAACTCAATTAAATTTATGCACGCTATGCAACTATATATATATATATATATATATATATATATATATATATATATATATATATATATATATATATACCAATATATTGTACGACTAGTTCAGTTTGTAATTAACTATGATTGTAATAACTACATTGTGGTGTAATAGGTAATATTATCAAAAACCTTTATTGTAGATGGAAACTTATCGTGGATTGAAATGTATTTTGTAACACTTTTTCTAATTGAGAAGATTTACATCTATTCTTATACAACAGTCTATTATAACAACCTGTATTTTTTGTGGGATTTTTTTTCGTGTGTTTTTGTGTTAATATAAGGCAAGATGGCCGTCATTTTGAAGCTTAGTTATTGTGGTGGTGGTGATTGGGGGGGGGGGGGGGGGCGCTCCAATACCTAACTAAATTCTCACTTCCAACGCCATTGAAACTCACATACATAAATTTTTATTGTATTTATGTGTATGCATGCATGCATATGAGGCGGCGTGGCCTAGCGGTAGAGAGCTGAACTACTAACCCGAAAGTCTCGAGTTCGCATCCGAGTACAAATCAATAGAACCACCCTCTGTCCAGTGTGATGGGTTCCAAACTCATGTTGGGGAAAAAAAAAGGTGCCGTCTCTAAAGTAGATTATCTCTACAGGAACATATAAAGGTTATGTTAAAGATGTTGATGATGATGCATATAAATGTTGGCATTGTTGGTTGCCTATAGATTATGCACATGTTGTTCCTTACCTGTACACGTTGAGTATGTATAATAAACATGTTACCCTTTTTGACCCCGCCGTTTGTATTCTTTTAAATATCTGGCACTGCGCCAAGATTCGTTATACTCTGATAAAGGGGAGTTGACTCGTGACGATTCGTGGTGCGTGACTTTTGTTTGTGTACCGTTTTGTCCCTGAGTCATTTAGGTTCGTTTCTCATGTCGGTTTCTCAGTCAAATGTTTTGACTTGAAGTTTTAGTTTATTTCAAGTTACGGCAAGACAATACAATATCGTACAAAATATTTACTCTATCGTTGCTTGGGTGGGTATCGCTGTTGGGGTGGGTATCGATGTTGGGATGGGTAGTGCTTTTGGGGTGGGTATCGCTGTTAGGGTGAGTATCGCTTTCAGGATGGGTATCGCTTTTAGGATGGGTATCGCTTTTAGGATGGGTATCGCTGTTAAGGGTGGGTATCGCTGTTAGGGTGGGTATCGCTGTTAGGGTGGGTATCGCTGTTAGGGTGGGTATCGCTGTTGGGGTGGGTAGTGCTTTTGGGGTGGGTATCGCTGTTAGGGTGAGTATCGCTTTCAGGATGGGTATCGCTTTTAGGATGGGTATCGCTGTTAAGGGTGGGTATCGCTGTTAGGGTGGGTATCACTGTTATGGTGGGTATCGCTGTTAGGGTGGGTATCGCTGTTGGGATGGGTAGTGCTTTTGGGGTGGGTATCACTGTTAGGGTGGGTATCACTGTTAGGGTGGGTATCGCTGTTGGGGTGGGTATCGCTGTTGGGGTGGGTAGTGCTTTTGGGGTGGGTATCGCTGTTAGGGTGAGTATCGCTTTCAGGATGGGTATCGCTTTTAGGATGGGTATCGCTTTTAGGATGGGTATCGCTGTTAAGGGTGGGTATCGCTGTTAGGGTGGGTATCGCTGTTAGGGTGGGTATCACTGTTAGGGTGGGTATCACTGTTATGGTGGGTATCGCTGTTAGGGTGGGTATCGCTGTTGGGATGGGTAGTGCTTTTGGGGTGGGTATCGCTGTTAGGGTGGGTATCACTGTTAGGGTGGGTATCGCTGTTGGGGTGGGTATCGCTGTTAGGGTGGGTATCGCTGTTGGTGTGGGTATCGCTGTTGGTGTGGGTATCGCTGTTGGGATGGGTAGTGCTTTTGGGGTGGGTATCGCTGTTAGGGTGAGTATCGCTTTCAGGATGGGTATCGCTTTTAGGATGGGTATCGCTTTTAGGATGGGTATCGCTGTTAAGGGTGGGTATCGCTGTTGGGGTGGGTAGTGCTTTTGGGGTGGGTATCGCTGTTAGGGTGAGTATCGCTTTCAGGATGGGTATCGCTTTTAGGATGGGTATCGCTTTTAGGATGGGTATCGCTGTTAAGGGTGGGTATCGCTGTTAGGGTGGGTATCGCTGTTAGGGTGGGTATCACTGTTATGGTGGGTATCGCTGTTGGGGTGGGTATCGCTGTTAAGGTGGGTATCGCTGTTAGGGTGGGTATCGCTGTTAAGGTGGGTATCGCTGTTAGGGTGGGTATCGATTTTAGGATGGGTATTGCTGCTTGGGTGGGTATCGCTGTTAGAGTGGGTATCGCTGTTAGAGTGGGTATCGCTGTTAGAGTGGGTATCGCTGTGTGGGTATCGCAGTTAAGGAAAGGGTTGTATTTCGGGTCATGGATAGGGCCATTATGACGTTTAGACATGTCTAGGGTTACGGTCAACTTTAGTGCAAGAGTTAGATCTAATGTAGCGATACTAGAAAAAGAATCGAATTCATCGTGCCTGCGTACCAAGCTCTATTTCTTTTACTGTCACGATATTAAAATAGGTTTAGGTGAATCATACATGTCTTTAGATTGCTGGCATATTAATTTCATGTTTTACTACGGAAGTGTTTTAAAAGGGGAGGGGTGGTCGAGGTAAAATGCACCGGTATTGAAGTAACCGGATATTGTTAAAACTTTAAAATCTACGCACAATATATGCGGTGCTGGGAATTCCCAAATGGTCACCTTCTAAATAAAATAATAATAAGTCACGAGAAAGTAACCTTGGGGCGATGATATCATAATCAAGTGAAAAATATTTTAAATTATTTTTATTTTCGCATTTTATATTCTGTAACTAAAAAACTAAACAATTCCAGGGCGTATATTTTAATTGGAACGGCGTGGCCTAGCGGTAGAGAGCTCAAGTCAATAGATCGTCCCTGAGTCCAACCAACTTTGATTGGTACCTGACTCAAGTTAGGGAAAGTAAAAGCGGCTGGTCATAGTGCTGACCACACTATCCACTCATAAGCCGAGGTTTCTGAAACAAATGAACTCTACTTCATCTGCCCCATTCATCTTGGGCAAGAACGGGAAAAGATGATATTTAATTACGTAAAGGCTATAAAAAAAACAGCTTCAGCTGAAGACAGCAAACCACAAAACATTGGGGAAAAAAATAATTGTCTGTTTATTCGTAGTTGAATTAGGCTGATTCAGTCGTGCTACATCTAAACTAGGTTTAAACTCTAGCCTTCTTGGATGTCCGCATTAAAGATCTCTTAGGCAACACAGCTAAAATTACAATCTGAGCATTCATTGGTGTAATGACATGAAGGCTGTGAATCGTGTGAAACAGACATACTCTGATTCACCTATCCTACGGAACGGCAGAACTCGGAAAGAAACCTAAGTAGGTTAGTTAGTGTTATTCAATGTAGAAAAAGCTCAAAAAAGCTTTTAAAAAAAATATACATTAAATACGTTTTTACATAGCTACACGCACAAACACTTCATTGGCTACAGTCATATCATGTGACCGCGCATGCGCCCTACCTACCACACGAACAGCCCCAGATAT